AGAAGAAGAAAAAGCAGGCAAGTGGAAAAAAACGCTCCCCGCACTTATCTGATCTCCTTCCCTGGTCAACTGGCTGTCAGAAATGCAAACACAAAACAGTGAGGTTCACTTATAAGGCTGCTCATGGAATCGCAGAATCCTGGAGTGGAAAGGGGACCCTCCCGGGTCATCTCACTGTATAATCTGTGTAATCTCACTGTATACAAGTTGTACAAGTGACAATAAAGTATTTCAATTTCAATCTAGCCCACTTCACCCCCCGCATTGCAGGAGCCTTGCTTGTGCACACCGTCAGTGTTGGATTTACATACAGTATAAGCTAAACAAGCTATAGCTTAGGGCCCCACTCTCTTGGGGCCCCAAAAAAATTTAAAGGGGGAAAAAACTGGATGTACAATTCCAAACTATGTTAAAAAATCAATAAAATACAACCTACATACAGCAACAGTGTTGTGTAGACTCCTCTTTGTTATGTGCAAATGGCATTAGATACCTATTAGGTCCATAAATTACCATAGGGCAAATATTCAACACAAAAACCAGCGGCATTTTGTTGTTGACAAAGCACAGCTGGACATAAAAAGGGCCCCATTACCTTCAGTCCCTTAGGGCCTCATCAAACCTAAATCCGGCCCTGCACGCAGTCCAGACACCTGAATTCTGGGACTAACTCCTGGCGTTCGTATAAACGAGGACCTTTTGGGGAGGGGGCGTATAGCGGGTCCCGCGTGACAGGAGCCCCAGAGGCAGTTGGGAGGCGAGTGGGGGAGGGGCGTCCACCTGAGCCCACCTGCCTCGAGGCCCCTCCCCCCTCCGGCATATGAGTCCCTCACAGCCTCCTCCCGCCCTGAACACTCACTTGAGGTGGTCGAGCGAGTGGATGTTCCGCGAGGCCTTGCCGTGCCCGCCGCCTCCCCAGCTGCGCGACCGCCCGAACATCCTGAGGGGAGAAAAACGGACGGAGGGAGGGCCAAGCTCGGTGACTCGCTCTCGCTCTCAGCTCGCTCTCTCTCGCTCGCTACCGCCTCACGGCCTCGGCTGCCGCCGCCGCCTCATCCTCCTTCTCGGCCGCCGCCATCCTCTTCCTCCTCCTCCTCTTCCTCTCAGGCGGAAGGAGTCCCAGCGCCCTCCCCGCCCCCACGCCCGCGCGCGCACCCTCGGACATTCCGCCCCGGCGGAGGCGACGGCACAGACCCGGCAGCGGAGCCGCGGCGCTGGGCACGCCGGGAAAAGTAGTTTTCCTCGGCCCGCAGCTACTCTCGCCAAGGCATACGTAGAAGGCGAGCCAGGGGACTGCGAGTCCCAGCGTGCCCCGCGCGGAGGTGGGGAGAACCCGGAAGTAGGAGGGGCGAGCAAGGGTTGCGTCCCCGTCGCAGGGCAGGGGGCGGGTCTTTGTGACCTGCGCGAGGGGCGGGGCCTTCAAGGCAGGTAAGGGAGGGGCGGAGGAGGGTTCTTCCCCCGTAGGAAATGAATCGTTAGCGGTGTGGTTCTTTGGAAATAATTCGGAATTAATTCGGAAAGCAATGCAGTGGTTTTGTTTGGAATGATTCGCAATTGGTAGTGCAAGAATAACCTTATTTGCTGTGATTTGGAGGGAGACGCTTAATCGTTGGGCAAAAGATTCCTGCATCGCAAGGACTAGATCAGGCATAGGCAAACTCCGCCTCCAGATGTTTTGGGACTACAATTCCCATCATCCCTGACCACTGGTCCTGTTAACTAGGGATGATGGAAGTTGTAGTCCCAAAACATCTGGAGGGCCGAGTTTGCCTATGCCTGGACTAAATGACCCTGGGGTCCCTTTCAGCTCCATGACGACATAAATGCCGGTTCGTAATCAATTGTTAGCGGGGTGGTTTTTGTTGTTATTTTATTTGCAATTACAGTGGTACCTCAGGTTAAGTACTTAATTCGTTCTGGAGGTCTGTTCTTAACCTGAAACTGTTCTTAACCTGAAGCACCACTTTAGCTAATGGGGCCTCCCTCCTGCTGCCGCTGCGCCGCCACTGCACGATTTTTGTTCTTATACTGAAGCAAAGTTGTTAACCCAAGGTACTATTTCTGGGTTAGCAGAGTCTGTAACCTGAAGCATATGTAACCCAAGGTATCACTGTATTCTTTATTTGGGCACCACCTTGAGGGGTTGGCATCTGTCTCGTGAGCCCCTGGGGGTGAAGTCAAACTGCTGCATTAGTAGTGGCCTCCCTGGGGTACATGCCCTGGGCAGAGTGTGCATGGAGGTCCTGGGCTGCCCAGACGAGAAGACTCCCCTCTCCGTCCACAGGAAAGGAAGACAAGACGTTTGGCACCAGCTTGGCTGCAGGAGTTGCTGGAAGGAGGCGCACAAGGCGCCATCAAACTGTCTTAGGGACCCCACCGGATTTGTGTAGGGTTTGCTCCTGAGCCTTTTCTTCTCCTGAAGATGTCCCGCAAGACAACAGAGGTATAGGATCAGAGTTGTCCTTCTCCTAGATGGGTTGCCTTCCCAGGTCGACAAGCCCCATCTGCCCCTCACTTCCTTCTACAGTGGTACCTCAGGTTAAGTACTTAATTCGTCCTGCAGGTCCATACTTAAGCTGAAACTGTTCTTAACCTGAGGTACCACTTTAGCTAATGGGGCCTCCTGCTGCTGCCGCGCCGCCGGAGCACAATTTCCGTTCTCATCCTGAAGCAAAGTTCTTAACCTGAAGCACTATTTCTGGGTAAGCGGAGTCTGTAACCTGAAGCGTCTGTAACCTGACCTGAAGCGTATGTAACCTGAAGCGTATGTAACCCGAGGTACCACTGTACAGCAGAAGGTGTGTGTGCAAAATGACACATATTAGGCATTACAGTTCCTTTTTAAAGAAAGGGGATGAATTGACACTTTTCCTTTTCCTGACCCTGCTCCAGGACTTTTAAATCAGGAAGGGTTTATTGATTGATTTAACAAAACTTATATACCGTTTGATTTTAAGAAACCCTCCAAGTGGTTTGCAAAAGATGGTTGTTGTGCACACACAATACATTTAAAGCACACTGTATCCCCACACAAATAAAATAAAATCCTGGGCCCTGTGGTTTGTGAAGGGTCCTGGGCCTTGCAGCTACATGAGGGATAAACTACAGTTCGCAGGATTCTTGAGGGGGACTATATATAATTTGCATCCCACCTTTTGTCTCCAAAGAGCTCAAGGCAGCACACATGGTTCTCCCCCATCCTTCTCATTTAATCCCCACAACAATCCTGCGATGTAGGTTCGACCGAGAGAGACAGCAGGAGACCCCATTCACCTTCCCAGATGTTGCTGGACTCCAACTCCCATCAGCGCAGCCACGCCTGAATAGCTCAGTCCATAGAGCATGAGACTTTTAATCTCTCAGGGTTGTGGGTTCAAGCCCCACTGGGAGAAAAATTCCTGCTTTTCAGGAGGTTGGACGAGATGACCCTCCGGGTCCCTAACAACTTTGTGATTCTATGATTATTGCCAAATTTGTTGGAGGCTGATGGGAGCTGAAGTCTAGCAACACCTGGGAAGGATAGCAGGAGGCCTTCAGCTCTGCTTTAAATCTTCAACAGCAGCCTGTCACAGAAACCTTAGAAACAGGGAAGGACTTTGCTGCCTTAATAACTACTCTTAACAGTGTGGTTTCGTGCTTAGAGTGTCAGACTAGGTTCTGGGAGGTAAAGGTAAAGGGACCCCTGACCATTAGGTCCAGTCGTGACCGACTCTGGGGTTGCGGCGCTCATCTCGCTTTATTGGCCGAGGAAGCCGGCGTACAGCTTCTGGGTCATGTGGCCGGCATGACTAAGCCGCTTCTGGCGAACCAGAGGAGCGCACGGAAACGCCGTTTACCTTCCCGCCGGAGCGGTACCTATTTATCTACTTGCACTTGGACGTGCTTTCGAACCGCTAGGTGGGCAGGAGCAGGGACTGAGCAACGGGAGCTCACCTTGTCACAGGGATTCGAACCGCCGACCTTCTGATCGGCAAGTCCTAGGCTCTGTGGTTTAACCCACAGCGCCACCTGCATCCCAGGTTCTGGGAGACCAGGGTTCAAATCCCCACTCAGTCATGAAGCTCCCTGGGTGACCTTGGGCCAGTCACTCACTCTCAGCCTAGAGAGCCGCAAGCAAATACCAACCAGACACTGAAAACATTAAGCAAGATGACATCTTTCCCATCGCTTTATCTCCACACTGGGAAAAGCTGGGGATAGGAACAGGGCCAGTTTTAGGTTTGATGAAGCCCTAAGCTACTGAAGGTAATGGGGCCCTTTATATGTCTAGCTGTTCTTTGTCAACAACAAATTGTCCCAGTTTTTTGTGTTGAATATATGCTAGATGGTAATTTATGGACCTAATAGGTTTCTAAAGCCATTTGCACATATTGCCATGCAACCCGTCCATGCAGAATGTAGGCACCCTATATATAGAATGGAACAAACCAGTGATTTTTTAGGGAGCAGGCAGGGCCCATTTCTTACATCACAGGAGCCTATGCAACACAAAACACTGTTGTTGTATGTAGGTTTTATTTTATTTGTTTTTTATCTTATATTTTGGAAATGTACATCCAGTTGTTGTTGTTTTTTTGGGGGGGGGAGCCAAGAGGGTATAGCTTCTAGCTTGTTTAGCTTATACATAAATCTGGCACTATCATAGGAAAGCAATCCATAAATGATTTAAGTAAACAAACTTGCCAAGGGAAGCAAGGAACCAGCAATCAGACACATTGACGTGGAAGTCAGTCCCAGCGAGGGCAATGGGACAAAGCACACAATTGATCCGGGATTGCTCAATCGGCAGAGTGTGAGACTCTTGGATCTCCGGGTCGTGGGTTCGAGTCCCAGGTTGGGTCAAAGATACCTGCATTGCAGAGGGCTGGACTACATGACTCAGGGGGTCCCTTCCAATTCTACCCTTCTGCCCATGCGCCTACCCAACAGGACCGGCCGCAACCCACTGGGAACCTCACCTCCTCCAAGCTCTCCCCCCTCCCCACCCCGCGGCTGTCACTCACCCTCCCCGGCGCCATCCAATCCGCGCTCGGGAGAGGCGGGCCCCTGGCACTTGCGGGAACAGCTGCTTCTGCTACGCGGAGGGAAGTGATGCGTCTGAGGAGTGTGGATGCAGAAAGAGAGGGAGGGGGGGCGTCCCTTGGAAGAAAAGGGGGGCTGCGCTGAGCGGGGAGGAGCAGCGAGCCCCTTGCATTGAAAAACGGGGCGGGAGCGAGCTTTTGCTTCTTTGAAGACTGGAGGGGGGTGGAAGAGGCGCCTCTGCAAAGCCTTCCCCCTCTTGCGGCGCATCTGAGGCCTGAAAAGTGAGGGGGGAGCCAGTTGCATGGAGGGGGGCTGCAGGGCGAAGTTGCTCGCTTGCACCGCCCGCTTATGAGTGTAGAGATTTGCAGAGGCTGGAAAGGAGAAGGAGGGCGCGCTGGCATGGGGGGTGGGCTGAGGACAGCAAGGGCATCGCTGGGGGGCGCCCTCTTCCGTTTGGAGACTGCTGCAGGGAGGGGTGGGCAGGTAGGTAGGTAGGCAGGCGAAGGCGCTGGGCTCTCTTTGATTCCTCTGGCTGCTGCTTCTGCTGCTGCCCTCCCCCAGTCTCCAGCCTCCGCTGGGCCCGGGCCTCCTCCACGCTGGATGCCCTCTGCCGCCTGCACCCAGCTGGAGCCGTGGGCCCCCCATGCGCCGCCCCCGCTGCCGCCCTCTATGTTCTACGTGGGCTTGTTCTTCGTCAACCTGCTGATTCTCTACTACGCTTTCCTGCTGGAGTACATCGCCCTCAACGTCGGCATCGTCTTCCTGCCCGAGGACATGGACCAGGCCCTGGTGGATCTCGGGGTGGTCTCCGACCCGGCTCTGGGACTCTACGAGCTGGACAGCGAGGTGGAAGTGCTGGACGGCTACTGGGAATAACTCGGGCCCCCTCCCCGAAAGAGAAACTGGCACGGGCTGGGAAGAGGAGCGTCGCTGCATCCAGATGTGGGCACAGCTGGACGGACCCTTTGTAGACTGCGATGGGGGCACAGGGACAGCCTAGCTGGGCAGGTGCCAGGAAGCCCTCTGCCCCACCTGCCCCAGTCGTGGGTTTTCTGCTTGAGCTGGAAAGACTGGGGAGAGGACCACCGACTTTTGGGGGTGCCATGCTAAAGGCAGGCAAGACAGCGACGAGGCAGGAAGAGGGAGCCAGAGTTGGCACGGACGGACAGGGTCCCTTCGAGGCACTGAAGTAAGTGGCATTTTACGGTTTGATCCAGCTGTGCAGTGGGGAAGAAGTTGCACGTTGGAAAGGTCTGGGGGCGGGGGTATGATCCTATATCAGAGTTCTGCCAAGCTGGCACCCTCCAGTTTTTGTACTACGACTCCCAACAACAGGTGCGTTGGCCGGTGTGTGTGTGATGGGAGTTGTAGTTCGCAACGCCTGTTGGGCAGAGGCTCTTGTACATATTGGCATGCCTCTATGACGATCCAAGCGGTTGCTTTTATCTACCTTCCCCTTTCCCCGTTGGCAGAGCAGGTTCAAAACTCGCCCAGGTAGAAGGGACTGCTAGGTGCTCCCCCCAAACCGCAGTGGAACACAGAAAGGGTAAGATTGTCTGTCCATCTAGTTCAGTGCTGTCGACACGGACTGGCAGCGGCGCTCCACATCGACTGGGCTGCCGGCCCTATCCCTAGATACAAAGTAAGAAGCCTCGTGGTGCAATGAGTCCCTGTGTCTGACTGTTAACTAGGAGGTTGGTGGTTCAAGCCCACCCTGGGATGGCTGTGGGCAGGATTCCCTTCCAACTCTATGATTCTACGAAATCCCATTCCTCGTGATTCGGTATAAAAGGCTGCCTTATACAGAGTTAGATTGAGGTCAGTATTGTCTACACAGGCTGGCAGTGGCATTCCAGGGTTGTAGAGTGGGGACAACCCCTGGATTGAACCTGCAACCTTCTGTCTCATGCATGTTTAGCACTGAGCACTCTCTGTTATGTGATGCCTCTCATCAGACATGAGCACCAGCCATGAAAATGCAAGGACCTCCCCCCAGGCTGCCTGCACAGTTTCACTCATTCCTAACCCACCCATAAGATGGGGCTGGGGCACCCATTTCTGCAAAACCCTGTCTCCTCCCAACACATTCGGCAAGGGTATTTTGTGTACATAGTTCAGATCTGCACCATGCATTCCGCACACCCTTAAAAAGTGTGTGGCTTTCTCCCAAAGAATCCTGGGATCTGTAGTTCGTTAAGGTTTCTGGGGACATGTAGCTTTGGTGTGGTGAAACTACGGTTTCCAGGATTCTCTAGGGGGAAGTCCTGTTTACCTGAACGAAAAAGCTTTCAGCAAGAGTGCGGTGAAGGTGCCTGCCTGCCCTCAATAGGCAGGGAGTTCCAAAGTGTGATTTCTTTTTTTTCCTTCAAATTTTTTTATTGATTTTCACAAAATTATAGACACACAAACATACAAGCAAACAAACATAAATAATAACCTTATTAAAACTAATCTTATTAACATTAAGTGACTTCCCCTAGTTGAATTTCAGTGCAAATCATTTTAACGGTTTTCCAAATCAAAATTCTTATAAACTTAACTTAATCACTTAACATCTTTCTTACCAATTCAGCATTAAACATATTAATTCATCACATTACATATTTAAATCCTAAGCCTATCTGGTAATTGCAAGCTTTTTCCAATTAATTTAACTTAGCATATTTCACTAAATAGTCATTAAATTTCGTCCATTCTTCCTGATACTCCTCCTCCTCCTGGTCGCGGACTCTTCTGGTCAGGTCTGCTAGCTCTGAAAAATCCATCGTCTTCATCTGACATTCTACCACAGTTGGTACTCAAAGTGTGATTTCTTGCAAATGCAGAATGAGTATTATGCAGAGAGAGTGGATGAGGCCTGAGCATAGCTGTCAACTTACAGATTTGAAAATAAGGGACCAGCAGCCTCGAAAATAAGGGATCAGCAGCCAAAATAAGGGATCAACAATTACTTTGATAAAACACATATTTTGTTGCATGCAAATGGCTTTAGATACCTATTAGGTCCATAAATTATCGTATAGCATATATTCAACACACAAAAAACAGCAACAATTTGTTGTTGACAAAGGACAGCTGGACATAGAAAGGGCCCCATTACCTTCAGTAGCTTATTTAAGGGACATCATCAATAAGGGACAGCAGCGGGACATGGCGCTGGGATAAGGGACTGTCCTGCCAAATAAGGGACGCTTGACAGCTATGGGCCTGAGACCTTCATGCAAAGCAGATGCTCTGAGCTGTGGTCCTGGCACAGACGAACATGGTGGCTGGGCTTTATGGGAGTTGTAGTCCAGAGGGTGCCAGGTCGAGAGAGGCAAGATTAAACTCAGATTGAAGTAAAAAAACAACAACACCTTGGATCTGATCTTATACATCTGCCAGATGTTTCTATCTATTCAAGGCCAAAAGGATTTCTGTTTTCTCTCTACTTTTGCTACCCAGCTAGCTCATATGAGTTGCGCTTGACTAGCAGTTTCAGATGGCGTGAAAAACTTACCTTACCCTCAGGCCGGCACTGTTAGTTGCTCAGTATCTGCTCCCTCAGCTGAAATGGACATAGTTTTAGCACGGTGCTTGCCATTTATTCATTTAGTAACTGCAATTAAGCCCCATATCTTAAGCACCTGCACCAACCAGATCTACAAGGTAGACCTCTGTTGCTCCCATTTCACAGACGGGAAGACCGAGTGCTGCTAAAGCACATCCTAAGCAGCTGCAGCAGATCAAAGCAAGGTGGTGCTGGTAGGATAATGCAAGTCAGGACCCAGAAGGGACTTCTTGCCTGAGCACCTGCTTTCATTGCCTTTTTGGGGGAGGGTTGCTCTCTGTTAACCCTCCCAACCTCCTCGCTAGCCGGCCCTCAGCTCCCTCACCTTTCCCTTTAAACTTGAGTTATATTATCACATTTCTTGGTATCTCTCCAGAATATGAAGAGAGGAGCCATTTAAAATGTCAGCGAAAGCAGTTTAAGCCATAAACGAATGAGGTTCAGATCTCCCTTCCATATGCAGCTATCAGCATCGTGATATATATATTTTTAAGCACACTGATTTGTATTGAGCATTGTCGTGAACATGTAACCAGGAAACGGAGTTCTCTGGATCCGGATCAGATAGACAACCATGCTGTCTGTCACTTCAGTTATTTGGCCCATGGGCCAGATCCTGACCATCATCCCCCCACCACCACATTGACGCAGGGGACAATTACAAAGGGGTGCCTATTGGCTGGTTGGGATTTATATGAAACCCCTTTGAAGTGGATGCAAGTCATGTTTGCAAAGGAACCTTTCCCTCTCTGCAGACCAGCCTGCAAAACCATTGGTGCTGCCCGTGAGCTTGGCTTGGCAAACCTGGGCTAAGCCCCTCATCGCCCCTGCAATGGACGCTCCTCAAGTCCATTAAACTGGCTGGGATGTTGTCCTTGAACTGGGAAGATCCTTGCCTGCCTGGATAGAGGCTTGAAGATGCCTCTGAGTGTTGTGAGGCTGGAATGTAGCAGAGGCAAAAGTTACATCTGTTGCTCCGCCCATTATTTGCCTCTGGCCCCGCCCACCGCTTGCATGGGTGCCCGCCCCCAACAAAGGTAACACCAAAGGGGAGAAAGGGTTAACTTGCCAATACAATGCCCCTCTGTACTGTATATTTCATCCTTTCTCAACCTGTGGGTCCCCAGATGTTGTTGAACTACAACTCCCATCACCCCTAGCTAGCAAGGCCAGATCTCAGGGATGATGGGAGTTGTAGTCCAACAACATCTGGGGACCCACAGGTTGAGAACCGCTGGTTTAAAGCAGCACCATACCAATGGAAAAAGTCATGGCTTCCCCTAAAGAACCCTGGGAACTATAGCTCAAGAGCTGTGAGTTGCTGGGAGGCCTCTATTCCATGCCGCTACAGTTCTCAGAGTGGTTTCCCAGTCGCTTTCCTCCCCCCAGGGAGCTCTGGGAATGGGAGCTCCGTGAGAGTCCTAACGACTTTCAGCACCCTTCAGTGGCAATCTGTCCATTTTGCCTCAGGCGGCAAAATGTCCTGAGACGGCCCTGTCAAGCCATATCGGTGGTGTAGCATGGGTTGTCAGAGCCCAGGGCAAGGAAATTATTATGCCTCCTTGCGGCACTGCTGCTGCTGCTGGACAAAGCTGCAGAGCAGCAGTGGGACATGTGTGTGCACCTCCTCAGGCTGGGGCGCTGCCACCGCTGTGAGCCTTGCCCTCTGCCCGCCTCCACCACCAGTGGGGGACGCAAGCGCCTACCCCAGTGGTCGCCAAACCTGGCCCTCCAGCTGTTTATGGACTACAACTCCCATCATCCCTAGCTAACAGGACCAGTGGTCAGGGATAATGGGAATTGTAGTCCCAAAACAGCTGGAGGGCCGAGTTTGGCCACCACTGGCCTATCCTCCCCACTTCTTGCTCAGTGTGCTGCTTCGGTGAGGCGGGAGGAACGGGGAGCACCTCCAGTCGGGGCAGCAGCTGCAGAGGCTCCCCCCTAAAAATGGTTGCACCCAGCGCGATCATCTTGGTAGCCCCCCCCACGCTGCGCCTTTGGCACCCTTAACAAACTACAGTTCCCAGGATTCCCTGGGAGAAGCCATGCTTAATTAAAGTGGTAGGATACTGCTTTGAATGTGTAGTGTAGATGGAGCACAAACTTGCCCCCTTCCTCAGATGGTTTGCCTAGGTCTGAACTCAGGGCCAGATTTAGGCATAGCTGTCAACGTTTCCCTTTTTTTAAGGGAAATTCCCTTATTCCGAATAGGATTCCTCGCAAGAAAGGGGAAAAGTTGACAGCTATGGATTTAGGTTTGATGAGGCGCTAAGCTACTGAAGGCAATGAGGCCCTTTATATGTCCAGCTGTCCTTTGTCAACAACAAATTGTCGCTGGTTTTTGTGTTGAATATATGCTATATGGTAATTTACAGACCTAATAGGTATCTAAAGCCATTTACATGTTAACATGTATTTTATCCAAGTAATTGTTACAACCAGTCCATGCAGAATGTAGGCACCCTATACATAAAGGTAAAGGTAAAGGGACCCCTGACCATTAGGTCCAGTCGTGACCAACTCTGGAGTTGCGGCGCTCATCTCGCTTTACTGGCTGAGGGAGCATGTAGCCAGCATGACTAAGCCGCTGCTGGCGAACCAGAGCAGCGCACGGAAACGCCGTTTACCTTCCTGCCAGAGCGGTACCTATTTATCTACTTGCACATGACGTGCTTTCGAACTGCTAGGTTGGCAGGAGCAGGGCCCGAGCAACGGGAACTCACCCTGTCACGGGGATTCGAACCGCTGACCTTCTGATCGGCAAGTCCTAGGCTCTGTGATTTAACCCACAGCGCCACCCTATACATAGAAATGAGCAAACCAGTGATATTTTAGGGAGCAGGCTAGCAGGCAGGGCCCATTACTTACATCATAAGAGCCTACACAACACAAAACACAGTTGCTGTATGCAGGTTTTATTTTATTTGTTTTTTTATCTTATATTTTGGAAATGTACATCCAGGTTTTTTTCCTTTAAATTATTTTGGAGCCCCCAAGAGAGTGGGACCCTAAGCTATAGCTTGTTTAGCTTATACGTAAATCCGGCACTGTCTGAACTGCACAACGCTGTGCTCCCGGTGTGGGGTGGTGCTGGGAGCTGACCATCACATTTCCTCCATGAGAGCATTTGGTTCCTCTTCACAGGTCCCCCAAAGCACCCCCTCCCTTTGTCCTAGTCGCAAAGTGCACTTTTGGCCACTTGAGCTGAAATAACCGTTAATGCACTGACTTTGCAGAAAGACGGTCACCAGACGGAAAGCATTAAAAGGAATCTGTCGCTGCCCAAAGCTGTGGCAGTTGTTGCAATGCAGGGTATATAAAAAGCAGGCGGCTTTGGCTTGGCACTGCCTGCGCCTCGGGAATCCATCAATGTCATACAGATTTAGCAAGCGCAGGAGATGATCTGGTTTCAAAACAGAAGATGTTATTGACCGCTCAGCCTCCAGGAAAGCTGCGTAAAATGGTTTATGGGTTCCTGCGGTAGGAACGGCAGAATAGGAAAACAATACATAATAATACCTGCTTGCATTAGGTAAAGGTAAAGGGACTCCTAACCATTAGGTCCAGTCGTGGCCAACTCTGGGGTTGCGGCGCTCATCTCGCTTTATTGGCCGAGGGAGCCGGCGTACAGCTTCCAGGTCATGTGGCCAGCATGACTAAGCCGCTTCTGGCGAACCAGAGCAGCGCACAGAAATGCCGTTTACCTTCCCGCCAGAGCGGTAACTATTTATCTACTTGCACTTTGACGTGCTTTCCAACTGCTAGCTTGGCAGGAGCAGGGACCGAGGAACGGGAGCTCGCCCCGTCGTGGGGATTCGAACCGCCGACCTTCTGATCGGCAAGTCCTAGGCTCTGTGGTTTAACCCACAGCGCCACCCGCGTCCCTGCCTGTGTTAGTAGTCTCCATTAATTCCAATAGGTCTACTCTGAACGGGACTGACACTGAGATGCAACCCATCGGGGTTTGAGCATTGTGAAAGAGGGAGGGAAATCTCTTCCTGCTTCCTGCTTAATTTCATCCTGCTCTGTCCTCTCCCCAGCCGTGCTTTTCTCTTGCGTAACGTTTCCTTTTCCTTTTTTTGAAATCCAGATTTGCACACGTTTTCTGCACATGTGTAAAAGAAGCTGGGCGTGCCAGATTACGGGGCAAGACGGCACGGTCGTGAACTTGCATCTCCGCGAGAGGAAACGGCTTCCAGAGCAACGTGGGCTTCCTAACAGCCTGGCTGAGGAGGTCCTCAGCATTTGCTTGTTTTTCAGGGATTTGCCATGATTCTGCGGGAAACTGATTATGCACAGCTATCAGAATTTGCTTAGAGATTCCAGAAGGGCTTCCAAGTCACGGGAAACACTGCCGGGTCATTTTTAACGGTGAGCCGGGCTGCCAATCACACGTCACAAACTTCCAGGGAATGGAGAAGTCGTTGATGCCGATATGTTGAGCTTGGTGGTACTATCAGGATAAGAAGCCTGAGACCAGGTGTGTGGTGAGAGGGGGACCAGATATTGCTAAACTACAAATCCCATCAACCCCAGCAAGCACAGCCAAAGCCCAGGGATGATGGGAGCTGCAGTTCAGCAAAATCTGGAGGGCAAAGATTTTCCGCACGCCTGCTAAAGTGGTTGATGGAGCAGGATGGGGCATGGTTTTACACGGTGGGGGAGACTTACAATTATCCAGATATTGCTGAACTACAACTCCCACCATCCCTGAGTGTCAACCATGCTTGCTGGGGGCTGACGGGAGTTGGCACTGAACCACATCTGAAAGGCTCCCAATCCCTGTTTTTTTAAGGGGTGCTGGAAAAACCACTGTGAGATCTCAAGAAGTATTGCAAGAGAGCCCTGGCACATTTTTGCACCGTCTGCACACAGTTAGAGGGTTGGTTTTGGCCGTCCCCCAACCTTGCATGCGGTCCTGGGCCCAGTTTGCACCGACCGGTCTCACGAGGGTAGCCACCTTCGGTTCAGGACCTGGTGCATTCCTTGTGCATCACCAGTACAACTCTGCAATGCACGTGAATGGTTGCTTCAAAAAAATCTCTGCCATGTCGGAGTTTGTGTATGGAAAGCTTGCGTGTCGTTAAAGGAGCCTTCTCCCTGACATGTTAGATTTCTGCAAGCAAGGGAGAGTTTGATGTGGGAACACTTGCATCCAGAGTTGTTACTAGCCCACAGGGACTGCAATTTGCACCCTTCCTAAAACATGCAGGATCTGCTCTGCCATCATCATAACCTCCCAGCCGACAATCTGCATTTGCTGTTGATGAGCTATAGAACAGGTCACACTTTTCTGAAAGGGGGAAAAAACCCCCACCCTAATCCCATTAAGCTTCAGGAACTCATTTCATAACCCTCAAAACGTCGCCTTTTAAAGAATAAAAAAATGAAGAGAATTGCAGGGAGTCAGTGCGTCTGCCACACAGTGTTACGGGAAAGAATTGCTTTTGTAAGTATTTTTGTAATTTTGGGAAAGGAAGGGGGTCTTGTTAATTCCCACGTTATTTTGCCTAGTGTTGAAATGCAGTTCTTATGTTTAAAAAAATAATAATGTAAAAAGCAATATATTGATAACCAGCCTCTTTCAAATACACAAGTATGCAGGTCAACTGATCAAGAGTATTGCCCATTCATTTATCTGTGATGCGCTTTCAGTTCCCGTGTCTTCTTGCGGTTATCTTGTGTCTCTCCCGACAGCAGGACCCGAGCCATTGTGCTCCAATGACAAGCAGAATTGTTGAGAAGAAACCTTGAAAGGCGCTGCCTCCTCCATTAGAGGCTTTTAAGCTGAGCTTGGATAGCAGCAGATCTGCTGCATTCTGCCTGTGGTTGGATTTGCGGCCCCAGCTATGTTTCTAGGATAAATAGCCCTCTCTGCAACCATCAAAGAAGGCGCTTGCAAAGAGGTTGTCTAAAAGATTTAACACACATTTATTGAAGATTATATGCATTCAGTAAGAAGGTTGCACACACCGTAAAACCGTGTTCAATGACTCACAGACAGAGACAGGGAGGGGGCGTGGCAAATCTACAATGGTCTAATAAGAAATGTGTGTACAGTGGTACCTTGGTCCTCAAACGCCTTGGTACTCAAACAACTTGGAACCCAAACACTGCAAACCCAGAAGTAAGTGTTTCAGTTTGCGAACTTTTTTTGGAAGGCGAACATGCTCTGTTTTGAGTGTTATGCTTCCAATGTGAGTGTTACGCTTCCGTTTTGAGTGTTACACACTTAATAATAATAATAATAATTTTTATTTGTACCCTGCCCTCCCCGGCCAGAGCCGGGCTCAGGGTGGCTAACACCAGTAAAATTACAATAAAAACATAATGGGGGGGGCAATTTAAAATACAGGTTAAAAATACAATTTAAAATTCCATTTGGAGTGTCTGCTTTTCCTATTTCTTTAACATTTTTGTTTTTGCGGCTCGTTTTTGTGACTGTGCGGAACCCAGTTGAGCTACTGATTGATTGATTGTGTGACTGCAGTACATTGTTTATTGCTTTTGTTTTATGAATCAATGGTCTGATTAGATAGTAAAATTCATGTCAAATTGCTGTTATAGGATGTTTTTAAAAGTCTGGAACGGATTAATCCATTTTGCATTACTTTTTATGGCAAAGCGCGCCTTGGTTGTGGAACGCTTTGGTTTTGGAACGGACTTCCAGAGCGGATTAAGTTTGAAAACCAAGGTACCACTGTATACAAAAAAAAAAAAAAAGACCTTGCACTGCTCCACAGTCTATTCATCTGCTAAAGATCATTTTGGAGAAACTGCTTTGCATTCTCTTGTGGTTCCTTAAAACCGTGTCAAGCTATTTCCCAAATCCATGTTTTCAGGACAGAGGTCCCTGTAGCCAGATGTTGTTGATTTCCCATTTTCATTCATGAATCATCCCATGAAAAACGTCAGGTTCTTCGTCCTCCGTTCGGAAGGATGTGCCTGTCAAGTCATAAACACACACATCTTTTCTGGCTTGCTTTTATTAAGGGCGTAACATCAGAAGAGTCTTGCACCCTGATTTCACAGTGGTCACTCAGACGCCCTGATGGGAAACCTCCATGCAGGACCCGAGTGCGAGAGCCACACTCTCCTCTCCTGTGGTTTCCAGCATCTGCCATTTATCTGGGAGCATCCCTGCCTCCAACCGTGAAGGCAGTGGATTAAGCCTTTGGGGCTAGTAGCCATCGGTAGCCCTCTCCTCCATTAAAAGGTAAAGGGACCCCTGACCATTAGGTCCAATTGTGGCCGACTCTGGGCTTGCGGCGCTCATCTCGATTTATTGTCCGAGTGAGCCGGTGTACAGCTTCCAGGTCATGTGGCCAGCATGACTAAGCCTGCTTCTGGCGAACCAGAGCAGCGCACGGAAACGCCGTTTACCTTCCCGCTGGAGCGGTACCTATTGATCTACTTGCACTGGCATGCTTTCGAACTGCTAGGTTGGCAGGAGCAGGGACCGAGCAACAGGAGCTCACCCCGTCGCGGGGATTCGAACCGCCGACCTTCTGATCAGCAAGTCCTAGGCTCTGTGGTTTAACCCACAGCGCCACCCGCGTCTCCTCCATTAATCCTCTTTTAAAGCCCCCTTAGTCTGCATTCTGAAGCCAACGTTTTCACGTGGGTCTTCTCACTGCGGTGCTAAGCAATGCAAAGACTTAAGGGTAACTAACAGTAACTCGGAGCAGACCCATAGAAATAAATGGACATGGCTAAGCTAGGTCCATTCCTTTCAATGGGTTTGTTCTGAGCAAAAGCTAGCTGAGTACAACCTCAAACACACTTTCCTGCTAAGACCTCTCAAGCGGGCCAAGAGGGCATAGAAAGAGCTGGATTAGACCTGCAGTAGCCAGCGAGAGGCATTCCCTCCTGGGAAGCCTCCTGGGAACTAAATGCTTGTAGTGGGCTAAAAGGGAAAATGGGTGGGGCAACAGAATCAATTTCCAACCTTGCCTTCCAACTGTAGGTGGCGCCAGAGCCAGTGACAGGCAGAGCCCATCTGCACTACACATTTCAATAGGTGGAATGACACCTTGAACAGTTTTTAAAAATAATAATAATTAATAATAATAATAATAATAATAATAATAATAATAATGTATTTTCATTTTAGTTGATCTGCTTTCATACCCATTTAAAATTTATTCAGCGTTCAGGTCCCTTCAGCGCTGTACATTTGAAGCACAATACCACTTTAAGCTGACGCGGGTGGCGCTGTGGGTAAAACCACAGTGCCTAGGACTTGCCGATCATATGGTCGGCGGTTCGAATCCCCGCGGCAGGGTGAGCTCCCGTCTTTCGGTCCCAGCTCCTGCCCACCTAGCAGTTCAAAAGCACCATTAAGTGCAAGTAGATAAATAGGTACCGCTTTATAGCGGGAAGGTAAACGGCGTTCCGTGTGCTGCGCTGGTGCAGGCTTGCCAGAGCAGCTATGTCACGCTGGCCACGTGACCCGGAAGTGTCTGCGGACGGCGCCTGCTCCTGGCCTCTAGAGTGAGATGAGCGCACAACCCTAGAGTCTGACAAGACTGGCCCGTACAGGCAGGGGTACCTTTACCTTTACCTTACCACTTTAAGCAGGAACAGCTTCTCCCAGAGAATCTTGGGAAGTGTAGTTTGCTAAGGGTGCTGAGCAATGTGAGGAAGCCCCTGTTCCCTTCACAGAGCTACATTTCCCAGGCTGGTTTCGCAGTCATTCCCTCTTCCCAGGGAACTCTGGGAATTGTAGCTCCCTGGAGGGAACAGGGGTCTCCGAACAAGGCCCTAACTAACTACATTTCCCAGGATTCTTTGGGGGAAGCCATGGCAATTTAAAGTGGCATGATACTGCTTTAAATGTATAGAGCAAATTGTACCTTAGATCAGTACTAGCAGAATTCAGACACAGGTCTATATAAACATAAATAACATTTAAACTACATATACGGACGCAATTTATTCTAGCGGCAGAATCTGGGGGTTTTAATATCTGACCACAGTATCTGAGATGGCTGGCAGACAATTCCAGCTCCACATATTGAACTCCTGATAAAGGCATGGTCATTTGGGGGGGGGGGTTGGAAATCAGCAGGGATATTTCATTAAGAGGGACTATCACTTTTTACAGGAGAGCAGAATGCAAGAGCCAAGAACATCCTAAATAGTGATTCAAAATACTTACGCATTTCAAAATCCCAACCTTGTTTGAGCCTGGTTTTGCTGGATCTAGAGTAATCTGATTCGAGAATCCAGCTGCTGCAGATGATCTAGAAGTCCATGGGGAATAGTGGGATTCCATAGCCTGAAAAAGGGGGGTTGAAGAAAATAAGGAAATTTGCTTTGTTGAAGTCCCTTATCTTGAGCAAGGATATACAAATCTGTGGATTTCAGTTTCTCTCAATTTTTTGTATTTCCAATTTTCAAATCTCTTCATTTCCATGTTAGTTTGCATTTCTTTCAAAGTCTTCATTAAATATCAGCATTTCAGTACAAATTTCTCCTAATACAAACAGCTCTGCATGCCCTGTTGCCCTAATACAGGCGTTTTCGCAAGGCATTTCCTCCCAATGCAATGCATTTTTAATGTTATTTTTCAATAATATGCATTCTTATGTACACTTTATCCTGGTGTGTGCATCTTTCTGCACATTACTTGGCACCGCATTGCAAAATTTGGAGAAGCGAAGATTTTGAAAACGGCTGTGTTTCAGTTCATGCAATTTGCAAAGTGTGTTCACCTTTCAAATGTTTAACTGCATTGCATTTCTCCCCCACCATTATTAGTAAAATTACACACATGCACATATGGGTAAGATATGCAAATAATGGAAGAGACCCTGGTAGAAGGGAATGGGAATCCAGATAATATAGAGAAAAGATTCACAATCGTGGGTTTTGTGTATTAATGGTAAAGGTAAAGGACCCCTGGACGGTTAAGTCCAGTCAAAGGCAACTATGGAGTTAATAATAATAATAATAATAATAATAATAATAATTTAATTTTATTTATACCCCACCCTCCCTGACCAGAGCCAGGCTCAGGGTGGCTAACACCAGTAAAATTACAGTAAAAACATAAGGGGGGGGGACCAATTTAAAATACAGGTTAAAATGCAATTTAAAATGCAGCCTTATTTTAAAAGTAGCCCATAGATCAAAACCATGAGGGGAGGAAAACATAAGGCACTCCTCTCACTTTCAGGCCGGGGAAGCCAGCATTTGTCCACAGGCACCTTTCCGGGTCATGTGGCCAACAGGACTAAGCCGCTACTGGCACAACGGAATACCTTGGCGGAAACCAGAGCGCACGGAAACACCGTTTACCTTCCCACTGCAGCGGTACCTATTTATCTACTTGCACTGGTGTGCTTTTGAACTGGTAGGTTGGCAGGAGCTGGGACAGAGCAATGGGAGCTCACTCCATCACAGGGATTCGAACCGCCGACCTTCTGATCGGCAAGCCCAAGTGGTTTAGACCACAACGCCACCCGCGTGGTCTACTGGATGCATTGGGGAAGCCATGACTGTTCAAAGCTGTATCATATGGCTCAAAATGCATGGTTTGGATATGACCAGGGACGGCACCCAGCTGAGAGCATTTGCGTAATCAAGGTGGGATATCAAGCCAGCCAAAGACTTACGCCACACTCTGGACGCGGGGACATTTCCTCAAGCTGTCCGTCAGGTGCTGAGCTCCAGCAGCCGTTATCTTGTTGCAATGGATGCTGGAAAGAAACGAGGGTACCAGCTGTCAGCCTAAAGGAGCCGCCTCTGCTTTGCTAAACCTCAGCAGTAGCAGGGTGGTCCTGAGTTTCCTTACTTCATTTGCTTTAAATATTTAAAACATTTAACGAAAACACACACACACTTCATTTCTCCCCCCACCCCCCAGATTTCCCCATTTTTCAACCCTAAGCATTTCACAACATAAAAACAACAAACAGCGCCATGAAAGCAAAACCACCACCAGTAAACGAGGAGGGGGAGGATCATAGAATTGTAGAGCTTCAAGGGACCTTAAGGGTCATCTAGCCCAACCCCCTGCTCTCTGGGAATCTCAGCTAAGGCATCTGGAGCATCACCTTGAGCTCCTTGGTGGAAAAGGTGGGGTATAAGTTAAAGAAATCAATAACAGTAGTCAAAAACGCATTTATATATAAATATTTTTTAAAATTTTATATATATATATATATATATATATAAAATGTGTGTGTGTGTGTGTGTGTGTATGTATGTGTGTGTGTATATATATATGTATATATATATATATATATGTGTGTGTGTGTGTGTGTGTGTGTATGTGTATGCATATACAGTGGTACCTCGGGTTACATACGCTTCAGCTTACAAATGCTTCAGGTTAGACTCCGCTAACCCAGAAATAATACCTCAGGTTAAGAACTTTACCTTAGGATGAGAACAGAAATCATGCTCTGGCGGCACGGCGGCAGCGGGAGGCCCCATTACCTAAAGTGGTACCTCAGGTTAAGAACAGTTTCAGGTTAAGAATGGACATCCAGAACGAATTAAGTTCTTAACCCGAGGTACCACTGTGTGTGTGTGTGTGTGTGTGTATGTGTTTATATAAATAAAAATGTAATCGGGGGGGGGGGGGGAATTGTTCAGATAGAAGCAGGGGCCTGATTTCATGCGACAGGGAAAGCCAAGACAGAAAGATACAGCCTTACAAGATGTGTGCAGCAAATGATGGTTTGTGATTCATGTAAAAAAAGGTAAAAGGTAAAAGACCCCTGGATGGTTAAGTCCAGTCAAAGGCAACTATGGGGTGCTGCGCTCATCTCGCTTTCAGACCGAGGGTGCCGGCGTTTGTCCACAGACAGCTTTCCGAGTCATGTGGCCAGCAGGACTAAACCACTTCCAGCGCACAGAGGACCGTGATGAGTGTCAGAGCGCATGGAAACGCTATTTACCTTCCTGTCGCTGCGGTGCCTATTTATCTACTCACCCTGGTGTGCTTTCAAACTGCTAGGCTGGCGAAAGCTGGGGCAGAGCAACAGGAGCTCACTCCGTCGCGGGGATTTGAAGTGCCGACCTTGCAATCGGCAAGCCCAAGAGCCTCAGTGGTTTAGACCACAGCCCCACCCACATCCCATGTAGGGCAGAAAGAAGGGCATCCCCGAAGTGAGGTTTTGGTTTGGGTGGCTTGGGCAGGTTCTGGTGGGGGAGGAAGAAAGGAGTATAGAAGGAAGGAAGGGAAACCCCACACAGAGCGCCTTGCAGTATTTATTTATGAAAATATTTGCATACTATTATATCATGGGGGTAAATACCAAAGCTGTTTACAGCAATAAAAGCACTAAAAAGCCATTATAAACAGACACCAGTCAACCATTGTGAAAGCACCTTGAACATGACTCTTTGTGGGAGTTACGGTATGTGCCCTAAGTCTCCATGGCCAAATGTTTTATACTCACTCAAGCACTCTCAAAGAAGCTGTCTCTGGGAGCACTCTGGCAAAATGTTCTGCCCCAGCATCTCCAATGTTGTTATTGTACAAGCTGCAGGAAACAAAGCAAGTGTGACCATGGATCCGTCTGAGAAAGAAGCCGGGCAGAGCATTGCTTTACAAGAAAGTTCTGCTTCTTAAGTGTGTTTTTAACCCATCCAAAAGCCTCCGTCCATCTTCAGGTAACAAATCATACAAACACAGAATCTGGCAAGCCCAACAGAGCTGACATTTTTAAATAAAGATGGTCAGAGATGTTTGGGAAAAGGATTAGGTCGCGGATGGAGAAACTGTAGCCCTCCTGAAATTGTTGGACTATAATTCCCATCGTCAAAAGGACGGTGGAGGCTGGTGCCCATTGGAACGGGTAGGGCAGGAGCCAGGGAGCCCAACACTAGGTGGCGCCAGAGCACATGATAAGCACAGGCAAGTGATTCCAGCCTCTACTCCAAAAGAACAAAAACAGGAGAAACTCTTGTGGCACCTTAGAGTTGGGTTACTAGACATCCCCGGTTTCCATTATAGATCTCTGTGAAATCTTGGAGGGTGTGGGATTTGTTAGGAAACTCCGCAGAGCGTTACAATTCCCATCATCCTTGATAAACTGCAGTTCCCAGGATTCTTTGGGGGAATCCATAGCTGTGTACATTAAAGCACTTTCCCCTCCTTGCAGAATCCTGGGAACTGTAGTTTACCCCTCACAGAGTTCCGGTTTCCAGCACCCTTAAACTACAGTTCCCATCACTCTTTAGGAAGGCGCCATAATTGCAAAAGTTACATGTGCCTTTTTTCTTGTCAGCTGCTGTTGATCTTAATCACCTTTTCAATAATATTTTCCAATAACAGCTTCAGTTTTTTAATCAGTAATTCAAACGTTTCATTCTGGATTTTCATAAACTGCCTAGAGGCATATTTTTTTTGCTGCAATCAGGTGCTACTTTTACTTTGTAAAATAAAATAAATGTGTTGTGTGTGCACGGCCCATGACCACTAGCGTGATATAAAAGTGTTTTAAATGGTAAAGGTAAAGGGGCCCCTGACCATTAGGTCCAGTCGTGGCCGACTCTGGGGTTGCGGCGCTCATCTCGCTTTATTGGCCAAGGGAGCCAGCATACAGCTTCCGGGTCATGTGGCCAGCATGACAAAGCCGCTTCTGGAGAACCAGAGCAGTGCACGGAAATGCTGTTTACCTTCCTGCTGGAGCGGTACCTATTTATCTACTTGCACTTTGATGTGCTTTCGAACTGCTAGGTGGGCAGGAGCAGGGACCGAGCAACGGGAGCTCACTCCATCGTGGGGATTCGAACCGCCAACCTTCTGATCGGCAAGTCCTAGGCTCTGTGGTTTAACCCACAGCGCCACCCGTGTTCCTGCTTTAAATGGTATGGACATGCTAAAGATGAAGAGAGCAGCACTCACCTTAGTGTCTTCAGCGAACGCAGCGACGGAAGCGCTTTGGCTAACTTCTCTGCCCCCAGGTCTGTTATTTTGTTCCCCGACAGGCTAGGAAGAAAGCATTGCAAAGTTCAGGACCTGCGCTTAGCTCCTTTGAGGACAAAGGTGACGGCGAGGATGGCATTTCTCCCGCCTTAAAACAGGCAGCTTACTTTAACGCTTCCAGGTAGGACAAGTGAGGAAGGACGCTGCTGAGGCTAGTCACTCCTTCGTCTCCGATCTCGTTCTCATTGGGAGAATCCAAGCTGGAAAAATGACAGGGGAAAATGGTCACCAAAGCTGGGTGGTTGCCCACCTCCCTGCCGAACGTTGGCAAGAGCCCACTGGGTCCCAGGCACCTACAGTAAAGGTAAGGGACTTGCAAATGGCGGGTGACTAAGTCGTGGGATGGGAGAGCTGAAAATAATGTCAATACAGTGGTACCTCTGGTTGTGAACAGGATCCGTTCCGGAGGCCTGTTCGCAATATGAAAAGAGTGCAACCTGCAGTTGCGCGTCTGGGCACCGCTTCTGTGCATGCACGTGATGTCATTTTGTGCTTCTGCGCATGCGCAAGCAGCAAAGCCCGGAAGTAACCCTTTCTGGTACTTCCGGGTCGCCACGGGACCTAAGCTGAAAGAACGTAACATGAAGTGGACGTAACATGAGGCATGACTGTATTGGTAAAGGGAAAAGGGAAAGGACCTCTGGACGGTTAAGTCCAATCAAAGGCAGCTATGGGGTGCGGCGCTCATCTTGCTTTCAGGCTGAAGGAGCCGGTGTTTGTCCGCAGACAGCTTTCTGGGACATGTGGCCAGCAGGACTAAACCGCATCTGGCGCAATGGGACACCGTGATGGAAACTAGAGCGCACGGAAACGCTGTTTACCTTCCTGCTGCAGTAGTACCTATTTATCTACTTGCAACAGTGTGCTTTCAAACTGCTAGGTTGGCAGGAGCTGAGACAGAGCAACGGGAGCTCACCCCGTCGCGGGGATTTGAACCGCCAAACTTCCGATCGGCAAGCCCAAGAGGCTCAGTGGTTTAGACCACAGCGCCACCCGCATCCCAGGCACCTACATGGGGGTCTGTGTCCTTTTGGAGATTAGAAGACACTTCTGACACTGCTGTGGCTTTAAGAAATATGGTTTCTTCACCTATTTACACCTTCCGTCTGTATGGAGTCCGTCCAGCATGGTCGTTTCAGAGGCAGCAGTGCCAGCAGTCAGCCACCCCCAAAGTTGCCCTTCTCGCTCCTTCTTCCTCCCAGCAACCCTTGCTGTCGCCCCCCCCCCCGAGCAGTTACCCTGGCAACCTTCCAAAAACCCAGTTTCTGCTGACACCTGGGGCAAGGGGGTAGGAGTTCCCTTGTATGGAATTTAGTGTCCCTCAATTATTCTTTTGATAGCTCAGCCAGGTTGCTTTGCATCCGCTAGCCCAGAAATTCATTTGCAAGCTTGCATTTAACATCCATAACCCAAATCCTAGCATTTATTCATTTCGCCCTAAATTTACAACAATATCGTGGTGATATAGAGGGAGTTGTGACAGCTTTTTTGTCTTTTATCGATATCCGGGTATATCTTGTTTTCCATCTGCGTCAACTGGAGGCATGGCTCCCATTCGATCCTCCCCACTGCTTTGCCACTCACTCCAAATGTTGCAGCGCTGGAAACGTGCCCAGGATCCTCACCAGCTTTCGGAAGCCTGTCAAGCCACAGACACGACCCAATCTGCACAGCAAAGAAGAATATAACTTGTTGGCTTTTCCCGCCCCCCAAGATGTCTCAAAGCACAGCCGACAAAGTTCGTTTCTGTCTTTTCCAAGCGGCTGAGTCAAGTCCCATCCCCAGACATGTCTGGAGATGGGTGGGAGAAGGGGAAACAGTGTCTTTAAACCACATCGAACCATCAGTTCCTCTAACCTTAGTACAGTGGTACCTCGGTTTAAGAACAGCCCTGTTTACGAACAATTCGGTTTAAGAACTCCGCAAAACCAGAGGTAGTGTCCCGGTTTGCAAACTTTACCTCAGTCTACGAATGGAAGCCGAGTGGTGGAAGGGCACCGGCACCGGGAGGCCTCATTAGGGAAAGCGCGCCTCGGTTTAAGAATGGTTTTGGTTTAAGAACGGACGTCCGGAAAGGATTAAGTTCGTAAACCGAGGTACCACTGTATTTTCCCAATTGCAATTCAATGTATTCCTGTTGTGTTTTATGATTTTCCTGATATTGTAAGTGAGCCGGGACTGGTCTGTGACCGTAATAATAATAAAATTCATTCATTCATTTTCTACACTGCCTGGCAATGGCTCTCTGGAGGTTTCAGCCATCCTTCATGGGATGGGGAGATAGGAATCTCCCAGTCCCCCTGGGCTGATTTACTGAACTTCCTTCATTCTAGGCAGATACACTTAGGGCTGCTGACCTCACTTCCCCTTCGTTCTCAAGGCCTCCCTTGTGAGAAGTGACATCGTTTGTGTCTCTGCCGCTGAGATGCAAGACAAGAACCTTAGCTGATTAGAACTAGGATTCCCCCCCCCCCTTTAAAGCAGGTATTTCCTGCAATAAACTTAGCTTTATTATGTTCTTTAAGTAAGTGTCTCAGGACTCAGCTACATTAGCCAAAAACAGTGTTTTGAATGCGTTATAAACATACAGCACTAGATGGCGCTGGAGAGCAAAAAGAAAATTCTGTGCGATTTTCCATAGTGGTCCCTTCCCTTATAACAATTTGAGTTCTGATGTATTTATAGCGGGATTTTTCCTGTGTGTAGATCCACCCTCAGTGTAGTTATATGCAAGGTGAAGTGTGCCCCTCCACCATGGATTCAGTGTTAATTTATGTACTTAAACCAGGCCTTGGGCTGATTTTACTGGTGTTAGCCACCCTGAGCTATTATTATTATTATTATTATTATTATTGACACCTGATGGTCTTTGAAATGTGTCGAGGTGGGGATTATTGTTTTGTTTTTGTTCTTATTTTCACTAAGTATTTGGTGTTTTTAATATGGCAACTTTATGTTGCGAAGTGCCCTGAGATCTACAGATGAAGGGCGGTATACAAATTTAATTAATAATATTAATAATAATAACCTTTCCTGGAGATGCCTGTGATTGAACCTGGGTCCTTCTGCATGCAGAGCAGGTGTTCTAACATTGATCTACAACCCTGTCCCCCTGTTCCATGAGTTGGGGGGGGGGACGGGACATGATGACTCAGTTCAGATAAATTGGTCCCAAAAAACACCAACAAAGAGTTATTCCTGCGGCTTCTAAAGAACTGCGCCAGACCAAGGTTACAACAAGATTTGCATTCTCCATCATCCGTAGCACAGCTAGATGAAGGCTCAGATGCAGAGCGCGAAGGCAACTGCCCTCTCCTGTGGGTTAATCTGGAACTCAGTGGTACACTGCCTTAGCATATGGAGGTTTCACTTTTCACCAATAGCTGCTAAGAGACCCATCTCCTCAACTGGTTTTAAAAGATCTATTATTATTATTATTATTATTATTATTATTATTATTATTATTGAAAAAGTAATAACCATAAATAAATAATAATATAAATGTGCACCCCACCACAAGACCATTCCACTGTAACTACCCAACCACCCAAAATTTGGACATCTCTTGTGATGGTTTGACCCCTTTCCGTTTTTACAGTACAAATTCTACAAACGCCTTCCATATCTCCTCAAAATCATTTCTCCTGCATATTCCTCATCTTACCTTAATGGCACATGCTAATTTATCATTGATAGCTATATTCCACACATCTTTATATCATTCTTCCATTTTATATTCTTCTTGCCCCTTCCACTTCCTAGCTATAATCATTCTTGCAGCTGTCAATAAATTTGTGAGCGAGGCCTTCATAGCCTCCAAACCTTCCGCCCCATCGTAAATTGATAATAATGCTACCATTGGACTTTGGGGCAGCTTTGACCCAGTGATTTCTGTCATCTCCTCAAACACCCTTTGCCACAAAAAATTGTACATATTTACACCCACCAAAATATCCATTTAAAAAATTCTCTCTTACTTACGTGAATTCTAATTGTTTAAGCTCTGCGACGGCAGGGATGAGGCGGGCGCTACCGCCAGCTGAATCTGCCTCGCTGAACAAAACAACAAGGAGAATTTGGTTAGATATATTACCAGGGCTTAACATTTTCGAAAAAGATGAAGATGACACAACCCCGACCCCGGAATGTATTTCTTCTAGGGTGTAAGCCATGCGTCTCGAGCTGTCTCAGGAGAAATTGTAGGTATGTTGTACTCTGCTATGGATTGCATTTATTTATCAGATTTATATCCTGCTTGTTTTCTCCAAAGGGAGAAAGGGAAAGGAGAATGTTAGCCGCTTTGAGACTCCTTAAAGGGAGTGAAAGGCGGGATATCAAATCCAAACTCCTCCTCCTCCTCCTCCTCCTCCTCCTCCTCCTCCTCCTCCTCCTCCTCCTCTTCTTCTTCTTCTTCTTCTTCTTCTTCTTCTGTCTTAAGAGTCATGACCTTCTGCAAACCACCGTTTTAAATCTATACTGTCCCCCTCTTCTCGGAAAGGTCCAGGAGAAGGGGGACGCAGTCTCCACCATTCCTCCTCCAATGTCCAGTCCCTGACAGTAATATACATTTAGATACAGTGATACTGACAAAAAAAGAATGTTATAAGAAAAAACCTGCCCCCTTTCCCTTATGGGGTATCTAAGAGCCCGTATAGAGTCCTTATGTAGGTTCTCTATCTGTAGGAGTAAATAACAGAGGCCAACCAGAGAATATTGAGAAGCAAAGCGGCTAGTAAGCCTGATCTTCATTAAACTGTTGCAACAGGGTCCTCACTCACCACATGCAGGAAAGAGGAGGTACCCAGAACAAAGGTGTGCAAGCCCTTATATAGACTTTTGAAATTGCCCACCCTGTAGCTCAAGACCACCCCCCAAAACATCATACATACATCACAGAAAGAGGTGGTCCCCAGCAGAAATGTGAGTGTGTTGCTTCTCTCCTGTCTGCCAGGATACCTGATAATGCCTTATCTGATTGCCTTTTCTGGGTAGCCTGGCCATTCCTTTGAGATGCTAAATACCGGTACAGTTATACCTCATGTTACGTTTGCTTCATGTTATGTTCTTTCAGGTTACGTCCTGTGGCGACCCGGAAGTACTGGAAAGGGTTACTTCCGGGTTTCACCGCATGCGCATGCGCAGAAGCGCTAAATGACGTCACGCACATACACAGAAGCAGCGAATCACAACCCGCACGTGCGCAGACACACCGCTGCGAGTTGCACTCTTTTCATGTTGCGAACGGCCTCCGGAACGGATCCCGTTCGCAACCAGAGGTACCACTGTACTTAGTTCTTAAATCTCTTAGGCATATTGATAGTGTGCTCAGCTTAACAGATACTTGCCAGGCTGTATTTACAGGGAGGTGTAAGCCCCTACAGTCCAAAGACTTTTCCCAATTCCTTCCTCCTTGCAGAGAAATATATTGAGATCAATTTTGGAGAGTCAAAATGGCTTCAGGATTGTTCTCCTGCACCATTTCAGATACGTGGTTTATATACTTATGTATGTGCTTGCCTTGTACATTTACGAACATTTATTTTATAAATATAAGACCTTAGAATTCCTATAACAAGAACAAACCCTCCTACCTTTGCGTCATTTTCTCCTGCATGTCGACAAGAGCACAGAGGTCATCAATGTCCCTCATCGTCTTGGCTTTGAACGGAACAACAATAAACTTCTCAATGGCGGATTGCAGTTGGTCTCTTTCCTCAGCTTCCCACAACTGCCTCCAGAGCCGGACGGCATCGCTGAGGGATGCCCTGCAGAGAATCAACATGCCACACTGAGGTTGAGAGCATCTTTGCGGAAGATGGGAACCTCCAGCAATCCACCCCACAGATTTCAATGGGTCCCTGTGCCCCATGACCTGGAGCTTGGCCGTCGCTGAGGTGCAACACCCACAAACATCACCATCCCAAACATACCTGAATGATGCAACATTCTCCAGAGTGACCAGCTGTCTGAATCCTTCTGAGTCAATGGCGCTCCCTCTCAAATCTAAAGCAAACTTCCTTTTGGCTTGTTTGATGACAGAGTGGAGAATGTAGACGTTGGGTGGGGTGAGAGCAAACCCCGAGAAAGAGAGCTCACACTTGAGTTCTAAAGCCATTTGCTTCAAAAGGCAACGATCTCCCGTTTCATAGAGACAGTGGAGAAAATCAAGGAGCTTGTCCGGAGGGAAATCACGCTCCATGAGTTTCCGGACGTAGTTTGAGAAGCTTCTCTGCTTCTTGCCGGCCATTCTCTTGGTGTCCATCTCTCCCTCCTCTCTGAAAAGGACAGAGGATCTCAGTTTGCCCCCTAAAAATAGCAAGCCAGACAAAAAACAAGGTACCAAGCTCCAAGAGAAGAGAAACTTCTTGGATTTGGTGAGCAGCCGAAGGTATTTGGTGAGCGTTTTGTCCTTGATCTCTTTAGCCAGCACCAAATGCAGCGCAACCAGGAAATTTTGGACCACGAAGCTAGGGAACACATAGCCACATTCCTCTTTCCTGCTGCTGGAGTCTTTTGGGAACGCGAGGGGGACCACCAGTCCGCAGCTGAGAGCAAACTCCTTCACTTCTGTGGACGGAAAGTTGTAGCTCATGAGTGTGTTCCGGTGGTCCTGTCCGGAAGACCAGGCCACCTGAGCTAAAGCGGCAATATTCTGGTGCTTAGGGGATGAACGCATCAGTTTTTGGAGTAGGAACTTGGCCAACAGGCCGGTAAGCGTGGAAGGCAGTTCCTTGCACCCCGCTTCAGACACAGCCTCGCAAACGAAGCGACACAGGTCAGGAGTGTAGCAATGGCTGAAGAGGTAAGGGCATTTCCTGATCAAAGCCACTGCCTCGCCACAGCAGGGCAATCCTTCAAAGTACTGAGCAATGTACGACTCGGCTTGCTGCGTGGAGAACCCTGCCAGTTCGAGCGTCGCGTCCATCTTCGATAAATGCTGCTGCAACTTGTCCTTGGGGCGGGAGGTTAGAAGCACCGTGCAGCCGCTGAGAATCTTCTTCTGGAAGATTCTGGCCAGGATGCCTCCAATTCCCAAGGGCTCCTTGTGGGGCAGGCTGTCTACACCAGATGTTAAGCCATCCCGGTCCTTCAGCTCTTCAAAACCATCAAAAATGAGGAGGACCTTTTCTGGGTACCGCAGAATGTGCCTGTAGATGTCATCACCGCCATCTTGAGGTCCAGTGGAGAGCTCAAACAGCAGCTGCTTGAGGCTGTAGCGGTTTTCAGGGAGGAGGCCCAGCATCCGGCAATCAAATCGGAAAAGGAAGCTGTAATTGGGCAAATGGCCTCTGGACCAGTCCAGGCAGATCTTTTGGACCAGCAGGCTTTTCCCCATTCCGGCTTTCCCCAAGACGACGACGACTTTGGTTCCCAGGTTGTTCTTCCAAGGCAGCTGAAAGAGCTGACTGCTCCCCACTGCAACCTTCCCTTTCTCTCTGAGGTCGCAGGGCCTGGGGTCAGCATTTTTCCCGGCGTTCTTGCTTTCCACGAGGCACAGCGCCATGTCACGTTCGATGTAAAGGCAGTCCAGGGCGAACTCTCGCTCCATAGGCACAAATTGGCACGTCTCCCGGAAGTGGTCTTTTAGCCTCCTGCGAAACGCGTCCACAGGGCCTAGGATTAAAAAGAAAAGAAGGTTCTTTGTATCATACATGGTGGTCTTTGTTAAGTTGTGGGTGAACATACAGTGGTGCCTCGCAAGACGAAATTAATTCGTTCCGCAAGTTTTTTCTTCTTGCGAGTTTTTCGTCTTGCGAAGCACGGTTTCCCATAGGAATGCATTGAAAATCAATTAATGCGTTCCTATGGAAACCGCTTGCCAGGCTGGCGGTGCGGAGAAGGGCTTTTCTCCCCACCGCAAGCCTTCAGGACAGGTACGGGAACAGAGAGGAAGGGGCGCAGCGCTTCTCCTCTGTTCCCGGGGCTTGCGGTGGGAGGAGGGTTTTTCCTCCCCACCGCCAACATTCAGAACAGCATTCTGAATGTTGGCGGTGGGAAGGAAAACCCTCCTCCCACCGCCAGGCTTCGGAGCAGCCTTCCGAAGGCTGGCGCGGGGAGAAGGTCTCTCCTCCCCACCGCCAGGTTTCGGAGCATCCTTCTGAAGCCTGGCGGCGGGAGGAGGTCTCTCCGCCCCACCGCCAGCCTTCGGAGCATCCTTCCGAAGCCTGGCGGCGGGAGGAGGTCTCTCCGCCCCACCGCCAGGCTTCGGAGCATCCTTCTGAAGGCTGGCGGCGGGAGGAGGTCTCTCCGCCCCACCGCCAGCCTTCAGAGGAGGTCCGAGGACAGTGGGGAAGACGCGCTGCGCTTCCCCGCTGTCCCGGAGATTTCCCTATGGGCTTTCGTCTTGCGAAGGAAGCCCATAGGGAAATTCGTTTTGCGAAGAGCCTCCAAAACGGAAAACCCTTTCGTCTAGCGGGTTTTCCGTCTTGCGAGGCGTTCGTCTTGCGGGGCACCACTGTATCAGACGACACAGCGATTCTTCAAACAGCTCTTGTTTATTCACAGGCCAGAACAGAACTGAACTGAAGGGTTCAGTCAGCCTGCTTATATAGAGCTCCAGTGCAACGTAACTGTAACAATTTTCTAAAACTATCCAATCACTGAACGTCACTTATTTGCATAACTATCTACAGTATCCCCCTGCTGGCCCAGGGTGAGAACTTCAGTACATAACAGTCTTGTAGTAAGGTTAAGGCTCACTGGGAAATAATATACAAAGAAATGAAAAAGATGTTTAAAATAACCTTTGTAAAAAACAGCAGCCCAGAAGCTTTTCTTTTGGGAATTATAGGGACAGAACTACCTAAAATGCTTGGGATGCTCCGAATGAACTAATTCAGATGAACTAATTCAGAACTATTCGTATTACACCTGAATGTAGTTCCTATAATTTCTGGGTGAGCTAAATGTTCACATCACACTGTGCATGTGTGTGTTTGTTTTAATGTTTTCTTTGTCCCCTTAAGTATATGTTATACCTTAGCAGAGCAGCTTGTAAAATTCTGAAGACTGAAAAAGAAAATGCTGAGGACCAATGGAATGAATTGTGAATTGAAGAGAATTACCGTATTTTCCTGTGTATAAGACTACTTTTTTTTATTAGAAATTATGATAAAAATTAGGGCTGGTCTTATACACGGGTTGTGCAGAGCGGGGATTGGCGATTGGCTGCTAATGCGAGCCGGACATTCTCATCATTGATTGGGGCTGATTGGTGGCTGTGTTAAGGGCTTTTGGTGATTGGCAGCCACAGCGGCAATTGGGAGGGCCCTGTGATGCGTGCGATTGTCAGCGTTTGTGGGGCGGGTGAGTGATTTTTGGCATTCCCCTCCTCCCCCAAAAAGCTCAAGAACTCTGGGCAATCTCCCCCCATTTTCTTAATTTTGAGTCCCCAAAACAGGGGGCATCTTATACAAGGGGGCGTGTCATACACGGAAAAATATGGTAATCCCTTTTTGGAAGGGGTGAACCGAAACTGCAATTAATTCTCTTTTTTACATGAACTTGCAAAGCATTTTGACAACTGCATAAAAAACATCCCAAGCAGCACAAAATACTTCCAGATGGACTTTACGTGTGGAGTTTTTTAACAGGGCGTCCACCATCCTTTTGCAAGCAGCTCTTCTTTTACCTTTCATCCATTCTTTGTCATTCTTAAGGTGGGAAACCCGGCTTTCTGAAATTCTAAACGAACCAGACCAGCAACAGGAAAAACCCCTCAGTGTGGGTGCTTTTTTTGCCCATCTTTTGGCCTCTCAGGTTTTGGCGGGTGCGTGGTTTTGATGTGAATAATGGAACATCTGGAGACACTCCTCAAAAACAGGGATGAGGGATCTGTGGCCACAGGTGAGCCACTCCTGCTCTCAAATTACCTGGCTTGCATTGAAACAGGTTAAAAAACAGGTTAAAAAGCAGAGACACTCACCTAGTCGTTTGTGAGCTTGCTCTGAATGAACAGGTGGGGCTTCAGGTCCTTTGTCAGCCACAACCACATCTAGGAGACAAAGGGGAGCATATTGAAACACAGCAGGCCTGTAATCCCCCTGTAACGTCCCCCCACCGTGGGATAACCAGCCTTAAGTCTAACTTGCTTAGCCTAATTAATGCATGAAGGGGTTAATGTCATAGAGTAAGCTGTCCTGCCAGGCTTAGCTAGGTCATTCCCCCTCACCTTGGGGACAGGACACGGGGTGGCGCTGTGGTCTAAACCACTGAGCCTCTTGGGCTTGCTGATCGGAAGGTCGGTGGTTCCAATCCCCACAACAGAATGAGTTCCCGTTGCTCTGTCCCAGTTCCTGCCAACCTAGCAGTTCAAAAGCACGCCAGTGCAAGTAGATAAATAGGTACCACTGCAGCGGGAAGGTAAACGGTGTTTCCTTGCGCTCTGGTTTCCGTCACAGTGTGTCAGATGTGGCTGAGTCCTGCTGGCCACATGACTTGGAAAGCTGTCTGTGGACAAACGCCGGCTCCCTCAGCCTGAAAGCGAGATGAGTGCCGCAACCCCATAGTCACCTTTGACTGGACTTAACCGTCCAGGGGTCCTTTACCTGTTTACCTTGCTGTATCTCCATCTACTTGAGAAGCTCAGTGTGTAAAGAGGTGTGAGCTGCTTGACCCTTCCAGCTCGACGATTCTATGATTGCACCTTGCACCCATGTTCGCATTGCAATAGCAAAGGATTTTAAATGCACAAAAATCTGATATGAACCACTCATTCTTTTTACTGGAATCCCATAGTCCACTGGATGCATTTTTGACTGATAAACCATTAGGGCATGGGAGCTGTCAGCAGGGAAAGAGAACAGCTAGCCTGTGGGTTCTCACTTGTTATCAAACTGAAGGAGCACCTTGCTGGAAGAGACGAGGGTCCAACTAGCCCAGGGTGCTTTGCAAACATCCCAGTAACCAAGAGGAACTAGGGATGCCTGCCCAAAGCTGGCCAGCGGTCCAGGGTTGACCTTAAGCTCATTCCTGGCGTGCATCATAATCTTACCTTCAAGCTTTGCCTTCTACGTTAAAAGGTAAAGGGACCCCTGACCATTAGGTCCAGTCGTGACCGACTCTGGGGTTGCAGCGCTCGTCTCGCTTTATTGGCCGAGGGAGCCAGCATACAGCATACATGTGGCCAGCATGACTAAGCCGCTTCTGGTGAACCAGAGCAGCGCACAGAAACGCTGTTTACCTTCCCGCTGGAGCGGTACCTATTTATCTACTTGCACTTTGACATGCTTTTGAACTGCTAGGTTGGCAGGAGCAGGGACCGAGCAATGGGAGCTCACTCCGTCACGGGGATTCGAACTGCCGACCTTCTGATCGGCAAGTCCTAGGCTCTGTGATTTAACCCACAGCACCACCCGCGTCCCTTGCCTTCTACGTTACCACAGCACTAAACCTCTGGGGGGCAGCAGAGAGTGAGGAAAGCGGAGCTGATTCTCCCAGCAGGATTGCAAAGATATTCTAAGATCTCTGTGCCCGACGAATGTCTTCCAAGAGCCAAAGGGAACTTTACCTTAATCATGCCTTTGCATTTGCAAGCGGGGAGGACTTTAAATTTTATTTTTGAGATTAGGGCTGCAGCCCCAATGCAAGGTCATATAACCCTAGTCTCCCATGCAATTCTTCCAACAAGAGTCCCCCCCCCCCAAGTCCAGAAGCTGATATTGTGACCAAGAGCTGTTCTCATCCTGGGGAGAATAACAGGGGCAGAGAGGGTTGCAGATTATGGACAATTGCAGCAAAAATCATGACGCTTACCAGGACAGGCATTAATGATGGCACCTTCTGGCTCAGCAAGAATATTCACACACTGATTGAGAGGCTCGAAGGCAAAGACTACCTGAATATCTTCCACGCCGAGTGGGGAGTAGTACAGGTTGGGGCTTGCAAGAGGCTCTGCAAATGAGGAGAGAGGGGTTTGATCACCAACATCGGCTCAGCAAGAAGCAACCCATTGCCCCTGTTGCTACAACTGCAACAGCAGGGCTCATTCTGTTTGTAACTCAAGGGTTAATTCAATTAGCGTGAAAGTCAACTAGCAACCAGGCAGGCTGGCAGGATCTTCACATGCTCTGATTTGCAGTGTAGTTCTGAGGGAGTTTCTACACACATACTCCCTATATGTTTGATTGCATGTCTTCCTGCCATTTACAAGGCAGGCAGGCAGGCAGGCAGGCAGGCAGGAAGGAAGGAAGGAAGACAAGGACGCCACTCTGTTTATTTCCACTCAGATTATACACTGATTTGTCCCATTTCCTCAACCAAGTGCTTTCCAGATTTCCTTTCCCTCTGGACTCCACCTGCGTTGTTTAAGTGACTTTGTTAACACAGGGCCCGCCTTGCAAGGATCATTGTCCCTCTCCATCTGTGTTTTGGGGAGCAGGATGAGAGCAGCTACACTGGAGTAGCTGAGACTGCCAGCTGGGAACCATGAAGTACCGTATTTTTCGCCCTATAGGACGCACTTTCCCCCCTCCAAAAATGAAGGGGAAATCTGTGTGCGTCCTATGGGGCGAATGCAGGCTTTCGCTGAAGCTTGGAGAGCGAGAGGGGTCGGTGTGCACCGACCCCTCTCGCTCTCCAGGCTTCAGGAAGCTATCAGCAAGCCCGGTGAGCCCTGAAGCAGAGCACCCCGCGCGCCGGGCTGACATCGGCCAGTCCCACAAGCCCGGGGGACAGCGGGGAGGCGCAGCGCCGCCATCCCGCTGTTCCCCGACCTGGTTTGGAGGCTGGTGCTAGGGAGAAGCGCACTTCTCCCCACCACCAGCCCCACAAGCTCAGGGGACAGCGGGGAGGCGGAGCGCCGCCATCCCGCTGTTCCCCGACCTGGTTTTGGGGGAGAAATAAAGGAAAATTTCCCCCCTTTATTTCCCCTCCCAAAAAACTAGGTGCGTCCTATGGGCCGGTGCGTCCTATGGGACGAAAAATACGGCAATCTCCCTTTTATCATGCATTTGGCAAGGAGGCCTTAAGGCAAGATGCAGTCCAGCTCCTCAGCCGCAACACAGGGTTCGGAATGAAGCCCGCCTTGCAGTGGGTTGGCATTGCAGTGTGGAAAGCAGAGAGTGCCAATGGGGTGACTGTGAGTGCAGTGGCGCCCCTGAAATCTCCCTCGGGTGCTCATGAGGCCCCTGAGCCTTCCCACTCACTCGCTTACCCCCTTGGCCTTGACGGGTGGCTACTCTGAAAGTACGTAGAGCTGAAAGTTGGGAGAGTGGCGCTGAAGTGGAGCAAATGGCAGAACCTAAATTGCAGGTTGCTTGGAAATGCAGACTGTATATGTGCGTGCTTTCACTGCCTCAGGTGGTGCAACGGGTGAGGGCGTCTGGCTGTTAAGGAGGAGGAGGAGGAGTTTGGATGTGATAACCCGCTTTATCACTACCCGAAGGAGTCTCAAAGCGGCCAACCATCTCCTTTTCCCTTCCTCCCCCACAACAAACACTCTGTGAGGTGAGTGAGGCTGAGAGACTTCAGAGAAGTGTGACTAGCCCAAGGTCACCCAGCAGCTGCATGTGGAGGAGTGGAGACACGAACCCGGTTCACCAGATTACGAGTCCACCGCTCTTAACAACTACACCACACTGGCTCTTTAAGCAGCAGGTTGGTGGTTCGAGGCCACTGAATGACAGTTGTGGGCAGGAGGGTTGGACCACATGACCCTCAGGGTCCCTTCCAACCTACAATTTTATTTTATTTTATTTTGACAGAGTAATAATCATAAATAAATAAGAATAAAAATGTGCACCGCGCCACAGAGACTGTTCCATTGTAACTATCCAACCTCCAGAAATTTCAACACCTCTTGCGATGGTTTCGACCCCTTTCCGTTTTAACAGTACAAATTCTACCAACGCCCTCCATAAAATCATTCCTCCTGCATATTCTCCATCTTACCTTAATGGCACATGTTAATTTATCATTAATAGCTATATCCCACACCTCTTTATACCATTCTTCCATTTTATATTCTGCTTGCCCCTTCCGCTTCCTAGCTTATAATAATTTGTGCAGCTGTCAATAAATTTGTAAGCAAGTCCTTCATAGCCTGCAAACCTTCTACCCCATCGTAAATTGGTAACAATGCTACCTCTGGACTTTTAGTCAGCTTTAACCCAGTGATTTCTGTTATCTCCTTAAACACCCTTTGCCTAAATAAATAAATAAATATGTATGTATGTATATATTTGCACCCCCACCACATGTGAACATAATTCCCCGTTTCCTGGCATCCCCTCCACCATAACACCGAATATTCCTTGTTCATCTGATTTCACCTGACTAGTGTTAAATACCACCAACCTACAATTCTACGAGCCTCTGAGTCTAACTCTTGGCACCAACCCCAAGCTGAATGATAACATCCAGCTCCACAAATTTTCAGCAGGATTTCAATTCCTGCTTCTCTGATGCTGCCCATTGCTTTGTTTGTTTTCTCGAGCCGTTTTCGGTTATCGCATTAACAGGCTGCTTTATTGCCTGGTATTGTTTGCGGGTAGCAGACTTCGGACCCAGAGATGGGGCCAAAATCATTTACATAAACAAAAAAGCAGCTAGGTGAAAAGTAGAAGTCCACCAGACTGAAGACAAAACACTTCTAAACATCCTTGGTGCCCTGAAATACCTTACTTGAAGGTCCCAGGGTGATCTGAGGTTCTGCTTTTCCAGAGAAGCAAGCAAGGAGGCATGTGGTGTTTGTTAGCATTTAACTCCTCCCATTGCAAGGACCAGGGACGTGGGTGGCGCTGTGAGTTAAACCACAGAGCCTAGGACTTGCCGATCAGAAGGTCGGTGGTTCAAATCCCTGCGATGGGCCAATCACGCCATTGAGTAAATAGCTAGACATTTTGGGGAAAGTTTCATTCATTGCTACTAAAGAGCATGGAATTGACACTCAACTCTGAGTATATTTCAGTGGCTATGGGGTTGTGGTGCTCATCTCGCTTTCAGGCCAAGTGACACTGAGCTACATTCTCTGATTCCGGAGAAGGCAGCTTCCTACGCAACCTGTTCTCCTGCAGCCGTTACGCTTCTGCATCGGCCTCACTTGGATATTTGTTCTTGCCATCTGGATAACACACGCTTGGGCTGGTGCCAACAGGGACCAGTTCTCCAAGCAAAGTTTCCCCCTCCCCCCACCCCTTACATGACGCTGTAACTCTAATCCCAAACTGATGCTGGAACTCCAGTTTCCAAACTCTACAGGTCAGGAGAGGCTGAAGGGTTACCAGACTCAGAGGCAACCTCAGCTTCCTCTGATGGGGCTGAGAGTGGAGCACCTGCAGGCAATGATTCCTCCATGACCTCAGGAGCCAGAGCAGTGTCAGCTGGTACCTGCACCTGAGGATCCAGCACAGGTGAGGACCCTTCAGGCTCATGCCCCAGCCCCTGCTCAGCTGGTTCTGGAGGCGGGGACTCCTGTGCAGGCTGGGATTCCTCAGGTTCAGCCTCCGACTCCGAATCCCAGGCCATCACACCAGGGTTTTTGTTAAGCAGATTTTTTCCCCAGCTGCACAAATTCCCCATCAAACATCCATCAAAACCATCAAATTCCCCATCAAACACCTAGAAAAAAAACGCAAGATGAACACAAAACTGTGTTTTGCTCCTTATTTACATCCTGTATCAGGGATGATTTCTCCATAGGAATCTGTAGTTCCTATTTACTATAGAGCACCTTACCCAATATATACCCACTCAACCACTGCAATCTGCAGAACTGGAACTGTTAGAAATGCCACATAATCTTCGTTACACATTTGCAAGAATTTTTTTATTTTTTTAGCATGGCTGCAACTGCACAGTGGAATTCCCTGCCTTCTAAAAACACTTTTGTTTAGGCAAGCCTGCCTAGGCTTGTAGAACGCTAACATGTGTGTTTGGTTGCCTTTTGAGCTTATTGTTGCTTTCGATTATTTTTAGTATGTCTTACGCAGTTGTGGGTTTCTTTTTTAAAATACAGTGGTACCTTGATTCTCAAACCTAATCCATTCCGGAAGTCTGTTCCAAAACCCAAGTGTTCCAAAACCTAAGTCACGCTTTCCCATAGAAAGCAATGCAAAATGGGTTCATCTGTTCCAGACTAACGAGACCATTGATCCTTAAAATGAAAGCCATAAACAATGTACTGCAGTCACACAATCAATCAAGCAGTAGCTGAACTGGGTTCCACACAGTCACCAAAAAAAGAGCCGCAAGAACAAAAATGCAAAATAAACAGCAAAAATAGACAGACCTCAGAGTAACGCTCAAAATGGAAGTGTGGCACTCAAAATGGAAGCATAACACTCAAACTGGAAGCGTAACACTTAAAACAGAGCATGTTCAGCTTCCAAAAAAAGTTCGCAAACTGGAACACTTACTTCCGGGTTTGCAGTGTTTGGGTTCCAAGTTGTTTGAGTAACAAGGCGTTTGAGAACCAAGGTACCACTGTACCGATAATCCCAAAGGGTACAGAACGCAAACCCACAAGTATCGCTTCTCATACCGAAGGCAGGGCTGATGGTGGTCACCGAAAACTCCATGTGGAAGTCGGGCGACGACAGGGTGTCGGCTGGGGAGCAGCTCAGAGGGATGGTGATGCAGTTGCCGCTAACGACGCAGAGAGCCGGTGGATGCCCTGAGCGAGGAAGCAAAAGCAGAGCGATGTCACGGGGAGGCAGTTTTGGTGCAACTTCATCTCCAGGCTACTATCAGGCTCAGGACTGGCTTATTTATTTATTTTAAAAAATGTTTGTATACCGCTGTAACATAAAAATGTATCACAGCCAGTTTACGACAATACAGGCATCTCTCCCCCCCCCCGCCACTTATGCATGCTCATGCACAATCGTGCACATGAGCGGAGTATGCATCAGGAGGCTCAGTTTGATCAGAATCAAGTACACACTTCCAGAGTTAACGCTCAATATATGACTTCCGGTAAATGAGCCACCATAGCGGCTGGAGGGCTGTGAAAACGTGTCCCAGGCTTTTCAGACTCATTTACCCATGTACTTTCTGAAACCAAAGGAGCGCATTGGTTGTCAGATGTGAAATATATGTGCATTAAAGGAACGCGGGTGGCGCTGTGGTCTAAACCACTGAGCCTCTTGGGCTTGCCGATCAGAAGGTCGGCGGTTGGAATCCCCGTGACGGAGTGAGCTCTGTCCCAGCTCCTGCCAACCTAGCCGTTCGAAAGCACGCCAGTGCAAGGAGATAAATAGGTACCACTGCGGCAGGAAGGTAAACAGCGTTTCCATGCACTCTGGTGTTCCATTGCTCCAGAAGCATTTTAGTCCTGCTGGCCACATGACCCAGAAAGCTGTCTGTGGACAAACGCCGGCTCCCTCAGCCTGAAAGCGAGATGAGCGCTGCAACCCCATAACTGCCTTTGACTGGACTTAACCGTCCAGGGGTCCTTTCCCTTTTCCCTTTACCAATATTGGCATTATTTTCAGCTCTCCTATCCTACGACTTAGTCACCCACCATTTGCAAGTATAATTGCAACAGGAAAACGAGATAAGAACATTGTGTGTGGGTTTCTTTGCAGAGAGGACATAGATTTGGAGAGGCACGTTCCATTATGCACGTCTAATGGAGAAGCAAGCTGTTTTACACTGCCCTGGCTAGGCGCATCTATCTCGCTGCGGTGCCCAGCTATTGACGCAACCCCCACATAGCTGTCAAGTGTCCCTTATTTGAAGGGACCGTCCCTTATTCCAGTGCCATGTCCTGCTGCTGTCCCTTATTGATGGATGTTCCTTAAATGTCCCTTAAATGATGTCCCTTAAATTTCAAAGGAAGCAGCTCCTCTCCCTCCCTGCCTGCCAGCCAGGGAGGCTCCAACTGTGTTGCTTGGCTGTGTTGCTCACCCAATAAGAAGTCTAAGAACGACTGGGGGGTGGAGCTTGCATGCCTCGTGTGTGGCTAGTTAATGCAAGCTGAGGGGTTTTTTGAATGCTGGACGCCATTTTGTTGCACGTGCTGCTGCAAACTTTGCAGTGCAAAGCCAGGCCGGGGAGCCATCTTAAGTTGAGGCTGCATAGGCCTTGTGGTGCATGTGATTCAGATTCTATTCAGTTGAACCTCTGGTTACAAAGTTGGTTGGACAGTGTTCTCGAAGCTACCAGCATGAGTTTGACCAGACTGCAGGAGGACAGGAAGACTGGAGTGCCTGGAACAGGTGAGGCCGCAGGTCCCTTATTTTGGCTGCTGGTCCCTTATTTTCAAATCTGTAAGTTGACAGCTATGAACCCCCAACTCACCGAGTTTCCTGCGTTTGGGCTCTGGAGCATCAGAGCAGCTGCCTGGGGATGGAAAGAAAGGAAGATGAAGGCCCGGCGCCTTGCACAATGACTTCAGTAGGTGTGACTCCTCTCTGCCAGAACAGCAGGGATGGAATTAGCCACACAGCTGGGAGAATCCCTGATATTTGCAGATTTCTGTGTGATTTTAAATTACATTCCTATTGGGTGAGGACTGATGCCAGGACAGATTCTGAGAGCCCTTCCTTTCTCCTAGAGACTTATGAAATAAGAAAAACAGCTTGAAGGTCAAAGGTTCCTTACACTTGCTTTAAAAATAACTATCGTGAGGTTCAGGGAAGTTTTTAATGTGTGACATCTTAGTGTATTTTCGGTCTTTTGTTGGAAGCTGCCCAGAGTGGCTGGGGAAACCCAGTCAGATGGGCGTGGTACAAATTATTATTATTATTATTATTATTATTATTATTATTATTATTATTATTATTATCGTCTCCTGTTATAACATGTTGCTTTCATGCGTTTTCATACATTCTCTTCTGCTTTTGTAAGCTGCCTTGAGGCTATTTGCATAAGGCTGGTTATAAATGCCTAAAATAAAAGCCTAAAATAAACAAGGAACTGCAAGATGTTCCGCCCTCGGCTGCCGCGCGAACCCCACCGATTCACCTCCTGCTCACCCCGTTTCTTGGCCTCCCCTGGGGTTTCAGCCGCTGCCTCGTCTAGAACCAGGTTTCCTGTTTGGTTTGAAATAAGAAAGGGAAGAACAGGCTGTTTATTCGTGATTAGACAAGGCCACATCAAGACCTTTAGAGGCTGTACCTACTGAAGTCTGTTGTGAGATAGACTGCCATGAGGGCATCTCAAATGCATCATTCTTCTGGAAGGGGTTGGGGCACACAAGAATCTTACCGAACAGATCTTCCTCAGGTTTTTCTTCCTGGTCTTTTAGCACGTATTCAGCCAAGGAAGCTAAATTGTTGTTTTTTTTAAAAAAGAAGAAGAAGAATACAAAGTGAGAAGCTGTACAGGTGAATTCTTCTACAAATAAAAGCTCAAACCTTCCCCGCAGATGTAGGGAACCTCTGGGTGCTGCTGAACTACAACTCCCAGCACCCCTGGACATCAGCCTCAGCAAGCATGGCCAAGCATCAGGGGTGCTGGGAGCAGGGGTGGTGCTCTGGAGGGCACCAGAGACCCTTCTGTGATGTAAGAGCAGCTCGTCCAATCAGCACCTGAGGCTTCTGTACACTGCTTGGGTTGCAAATGCAGAAAAGCAAGGTTTTGTTTTGTTTAAAAAGAAGGTACAAAACATATCGACTAAGGTTGTGCATTAGATTCAGCTGAAGCCCTGAAAAGGGGATGGATGTGGTGTCACCCAGACCTGGGTGGAGACAGTCCCAGATCGTTATGGGTTGGGTTGTGGGGCTCAGAGCGATCTGGGTTTGTCAGGCAAAAGGAGAAGGAACCATTGCTGAGGAAGAAGAAGAGGTCAAGTGGGAAAAGAAAGAAAAAGCAGTGAAAAGGTTTAGGAGCATAGCTGTCAACCTTCCCCCTTTTTAAAGGGAAATTCCCTTATTCCGAATAGGATTCCTCGCAAGAAAAGGGAAAAGTTGACAGCTGTGGCGCTGTGGGTTAAACCACTGAGCCTAGGGTTTGCTGATCAGAAGCTTGCGGTTCAAATCCTCATGACGGGGTGAGCTCCCGTTGCTCGGTCCCTGCTCCTGCCAACCTAGCAGTTCGAAAGCACGAAGTGCAAGTAGATAAATAGGTACCAGTGGCGTAGCGTGGGGGGTGCAGGGGGGGCTGGTCGCACCGGGCGCAACATCTGGGGGTTAGGGTTAGGGGGCGCAAATCCACGGGTTAGGGGGTGCAAATCCACGGGTTAGGGGGCGCAAATTACTTGCCTTGCCCTGGGTGCTGACAACCCACGCTACGCCACTGATAGGTACCGCTCTGGCGGGAAAGTAAATGGCGTTTCCGTGCCCTGCTCTGGTTCGCCAGAAGGGCTTAGTCATGCTGGCCACATGACCCGGAAGCTGTACGCCAGCTCTCTTGGCCAGTAAAGCGAGATAAGTGCTGCAATCCCAGAGTCAGTCACGACTGGACCTAATGGTCAGGGGTCCCTTTACCTTTACGTTTAGGAGAGGCCTGCCGAATTGGCTCTGTCTTCCCAAAAGAAGGTTTGAGCTGTGTTTGAGCTGTGGAGTACCAATGCAGTGAGGCAGTCAGTAAAATCCCAGCTCCTTTGTGACCTCTTTGCAGGGAAGATGCTTGCGAAGGAAGACCCCAGCAGGATTAAACCCTGCCACCAGCCGCTCTTGGTCAGCGGTCTCTCTGTCCTCTGACCCTATGGTTTAATCAAAGCTAAACCCCAAATATACACCAGGTATTCCCCCTGACAGATTTGAGCCCAGATCTGTGGCAGGTGATCCCTGGGTCAGAGGGAAGTAGTTTGTGCAACCGTAATATTTGCATTGTTTGTTTATTAAAAACCACAACACCATTTTCAAAGTCTTTGACTGCAAGACATCCTAATGAGAAGATCTAAAAGGAGAAGGTCTTGTCCATGGGTAGGCAACCTAAGGCCCAGGGACCGGATCTGGCCCAATTGCCTTCTCAATCCGGCCTGCGGACAGTCTGGGAATCAGCGTGTTTTTACATGCGTAGAATGTGTCCTTTTATTTAAAATTCATCTCTGGGTTATTTGTGGGGCATAGGAATTCGTTCATTATTATTTTTTCAAAATATAGTCTAGCCCCCCCACAAGGTCTAAGGGACAGTGGACTGGCCCTCTGCTGAAAAAGTTTGCTGACCCTTCTTGTCTTTTTCTTTACTATGTACTTTGTGATTTTATGTAGCGATTCTGAAATATAGATGCGCTTTTACTCTCGCAAGATTGAATGTATTGCCCTCGGATTCCAACAGATTCCACACGAAAAACGCCTATGTCCCTGTGAAGATGGCAGTACCAAATCGGTGGCGCATGCCCTTCTGGCTTGCATTCATTATAAAGACTTGGGGAATGAGGTTATCACCCCTCTTTTATTGTCCATTCCGGGTCGCCCAGCCACTGCCACAGTGTCCTTTCTCTTGGCAGATCAAGGTGAGCAGGCGACAGCAAAGGTTGCAAGGTTTTTAGCTGGGGCAATTAGAATAAGATCCACTATTTGACTATTGATTCAAAACCCTAAAATGTATTTTATATAATTGACTTTTTATTTTTATTCTTTGTATATTGTATTGTTGTTTTATTGCTATGGCCGATGGCTGACGCAAATAAAGATTCATTCATTCATTCATTCATTCATTCATTCATTCATTCATTGTGATTTTATGTTGTGAACCACCCTGAGACTTTGGGGTATAGGGTGGTATACAATTTTAATAATATCTAACAAACAAAGAAACAAGCCGGGCCTCACTCAGCTCCTCTCCAACCTCGACATTCCATCTTCCTACCTATTTTATCATAGGCCTCTCCAGTGTCCGCACACAGGCAGACTTGTTCTCCACTCTCATTACTTTCCACTGTGTAAAAGACATCAGGGTTGTTTTCCTGATCGTCAGGTTCTAGAGTTAAAAAAATAAAATGAAAGAGGCATTAATAGTGCACAAAAACATCTATGCAACTTTTATCTTACTACAAAAAGCATCAACCGCAGAAACACCTTAGATACCTGCAAAACCCATAGAAATCAGAAACTTTTTTGGCTCCCAGGACCAGAACTTTATCTGGCAACACCCTGTGGGTCAGGATGGAAAGGTGGGGGGGCAACTCACCTGCCAATCACAGATGCCACTAGAACATCACACTTTTGACAGGTGGGCTGTTTCACACGCAGGGGAAAATTTCACCTAATAGGCACACTTTGGTATGTAATTTCCCTGAATATACACATTTCTGCAAAGGATTTTCTCCTGATATAATGCATTTCTGTATGAAACTTTCATTAGTATATGTATTGTCGCACACACCATATCCTTTTATATGCATTTTAATACATATTTCTTGGCTGGAGAACTGCATTGCAAAATTCAGAGAAGTTAAAGTTTCAAAGGCTGGATGTGTTTCAGTTTTTAGAACATCTCGGAAAATGCAAATTGGGTCGGGAACCGAATTTCTCATCCATCCCTGCTGGCAGAGTACCTGCTTAAGCCCCACTGTTTTCTTGACCCATTGCTGCTTGGGGGGGGGGGGCATTTAGGAAAACGGGTGAAGGCAGAGGTTTAAATACACCTTCCTTCAACACCCCTCTTCCATCCAGTTCCTATCATTGCTCTCGTAATTTCACTTTAAAGTCTTTGTTGTTGTTTGCTTATTCCTTTCTTTTTTTTTAAGAAGCCAGTTGGAAAAACCAGCTCAAAAATATCTGATTTGGCCAGAGGTTGCCCTCAGAGAATGCTTTGGATTTCTGGCTCCCAGAAAGTACTGTACTTTTCCGTGTACAGTGGTACCTCAGGCTACATATGCTTCAGGTTATAGACTCTACTAGCGCAGAAATAGTACCTCGGGTTAAGAACTTTGCTTCAGGATGAGAACAGAAATCAGGCAGCGGCAGCGGGAGGCCCCATTAGCTAAAGTGGTGCTTCAGGTTAAGAACAGTTTCAGGTTAAGAACGGACCTCCAGAATGAATTAAGTTCTTAACCCGAGGTACCACTGTATAAGACGAGGTTTTTCCCTGCAAAAATAATGTTTAAAAATTGGGGTCGTCTTAGGTAAAGGTAAAGGTACCCCTGCCCGTATGGGCCAGTCTTGCCAGACTCTAGGGTTGTGCGCTCATCTCACTCTATAGGCCGGGAGCCAGCGCTGTCCGCAGACACTTCCGGGTCACGTGGCCAGCGTGACAAGCTGCATCTGGCGAGCCAGCGCAGCACACAGAAACACCGTTTACCTTCCCGCTAGTAAGCGGTCCCTATTTATCTACTTGCACCCGGGGGTGCTTTCGAACTGCTAGGTTGGCAGGCGCTGGGACCGAGCAACGGGAGCGCACCCCGCTGCGGGGATTCGAACCGCCGACCTGACGATCGGCAAGTCCTAGGCGCTGAGGTTTTACCCACAGCACCACCCGCGTCCCTGGGGTCGTCTTATACGTGGGTAGTTCAGTGTGGTGATGGGTGATTGGTTGCTGCCACGAGTAGGAGATTGTCAGCCGCTATTGTTCTGGTGATTGGTGGCTGCGGCAAGGGCTGTTGTTGATTGGCTGTCATTGCGGCAACTGGGTGGGCGATTGGCGGCTGCTGGCGTTGAGCGGGCAGGCGATTTTTGGCCTCTGCGATGTGTGTTATTGTCAGCGTTGGCCAGACGAGTGAGAGATTCCCCTCCCCAAAAAAGCTGAACAACTCTGGACAATCTCCCCCCATTTTCTTAATTTTGAGTCGGGGCATCTTATACTCAGGGCGTGTTATACACGGGAAAGTACGGTACTTCCTGTGCCGCCCTTCATCAACCATTGACCAGTCCAAAATAGAGGATGAAGAAGACTGGTCAGTGCAGGGGGACTGTGAAAGCAAGAATGAGTATTTATGTGGGCAGCAGCTGCAATGTACCCCAAACCAGCCAACCTGGCTATATTTCCTAGATGCAGACAGGCAGAACTGCCTTGGAAAGGCCTCTTCCATTGTTTCTGCGCTTTCATCTTGTCCCCTGGGTTATCTGACTCTTGACGTGTCTTTTGCAGCTTTCACAATAAAAAAATTATGGGGCGTCAGGTAGATGAGAAAACAAAACGAGCAGGGGATTATTCTTCACGACGCCCGGGGGGCGGGGGGAACTCACCTGTTTCCACTACCTCCTTATACAGAACCGGTATGTCGACGTCACTGAACAGGAGGTCCAGGTAGCTCTTCCCAGCCAGGACTCCTGGGTCCATGGTGTCACCTGAAAGCATCGCCACCATCATCAGCAAAATGAAAGATGTATGATTCAGCCGCTTCTGGCATTTGCCTGGCTCACAGGTCCCCTTCCGCTCTACACGCTTCCGAATTCCCGCACCCGTCCACACACACACACACACACACACACACACACACACGACCTTTGCTTAATAAAACTTATTTCATTTCCTCTATATTAGTGCTGAAACCAGTTAGGACTTGCTCTGTTTAGCTCGTGTTTTTCTCACGCCTCAAAAAATGCCCACATCTGGGGTGGGTTTTTTTTTCTAGCACGGGTCAAAATTGTACAAAAAGGTGTGAATTTGTGTGCATTTTTAAAACGCAGGTGCTGATTTGCCTCAGTGCTCAGTGCTTTAAAGGGAAGTGCCCCCCAGTGCTCAAAAACAGGAAATAAACACACACACACACACACACACACACACATATATTTATATATATATATACACACACAGTACAGTGGTACCTTGGGTTACATACGCTTCAGGTTACATATGCTTCAGGTTACATACGCTTCAGGTTACAGACTCCGCTAACCCAGAAATAGTACCTCAGGTTAAGAACTTTGCTTCAGGATGAGAACAGAAATCGTGCTCTGGTGGCGCAGCAGCAGCAGGAGGCCCCACTAGCTAAAGTGGTGCTTCAGGTTAAGAACAGTTTCAGGTTAAGTACGGACCTCCGGAACGAATTAAGTACTTAATAATAATAATATCTTTATTGTCATTGCCCCCTCTCGGGGACAACGAAATTACTTGGCTGCTCCATCCACCCAGGTAGGGCACTCCACACAAAATCAAAACAACTATAAAAACACTAATTAACCAGAGGTACCACTGTATATATGTGTGTGTGTGTGTGTGTGTGTGTGTGTGTGTGTGTTAAATGCTTGCAACTTGGTCTGATTGGCATGGATAATTTAATAGATAACCTTCATCCGAAGAAAAATCTGCATGGTTCTCCTGCCCCCTTTCACCTCATGGCAACCCTGTGAGGTAGTTTTTATCTGACAATGAGAGTGTCTGGGCTCAGTGTCAGCCAACAATGTTCATGGCTGAGGGGGAATTTGAACCTGCAGCTTTCCAGCACTCTGACCACTGCACTGCACTACCTCAGCAATAATCTGTTCACAACATCACATTCCCAGCAGGATCCCTGATTGGTTGGGATCCAACAATGAATGAGTCTTTCCAAGTTAAATTTCTTTTAAAAACAAAGAAATATGGCAATCTCTCTTGCTCTCCAATTAAAAGCTCATACCCTCCAACATTTCTCCGATGAAAATAGGGATGTCCCATTCCATAATGGTAATTTTACTATTTATACCCGCCCCCCACATCTTATTGGCGTTGCCCCAGCACTCTGGGCAGCTTCCAACATATATAAAAACATAATAAAACATTAAACATAGAAACCTTCCCTATACAGGATTGCCTTCAAAAGGCTTGGGAGTCAGATAACTCCATACCCTCCAATATTTCTCCAATGAAAATAGGGACGTCCTAAGGAAAAGTGGGACATTCCAGGATTTAATCAGAAACTGGGACAGCTTCTCTAAATAATAATAATTATTATTTTTATTTATACCCCGCCCTTCCTGGTTCAAAAACCAGGCTCAGGGCGGCTAACAACAAATTTAAAACACTTAATTATAAAAGCAGCATAAAATACAGTATAAAAACATGAATAACAATAAAATTCAAAAACCAATTTAGGGGAAATAAGCATTAGATAATCCCCAGGGCTAGCTGGCTGAATTGGTCCTACTTAGGCCAGCTTAGGGACGCGGGTGGCGCTGTGGGTAAAAGCCTCAGTGCCTAAGGCTTGCCGATCGAAAGGTCGGCAGTTCGAATCCCCACGGCAGGGTGCGCTCCCGTTGTTCGGTCCCAGCGCCTGCCAACCTAGCAGTTTGAAAGCACTCCCGGGTGCAAGTAGATAAATAGGGACCGCTTACTAGCGGGAAGGTAAACGGCGTTTCCGTGTGCTGCGCTGGCTCGCCAGATGCAGCTTTGTCACGCTGGCCACGTGACCCGGAAGTGTCTCTGGACAGCGCTGGCCCCCGGCTTCTTGAGTGAGATGGGCACACAACCCTAGAGTCTGTCAAGACTGGCCCGTACGGGCAGGGGTACCTTTACCTTTTACTAGGCCAGCGAGGAGACTTAGCTGTGGGGTCTCAGAGCGGGTGATCTTCATAAAAGGGGTGGGGGAGGGAAGAGAAGGGAAATAAAAGATCAGGCTGAGGGATGTCCCTGGAAAACAGGGACACTTGGAGGGTCTGAGAGCTGGCTTTGCGTTTAACTGTCAAACAGTCGAGGTGCAAACAGCGGCCAACTAGCCTTGAAGCCCTGGCAGTTTGTGAATCGGTCTTGAGCAAAACCGGCACATTGGCTAGCTTCAGAGGAAGGAAATGCCGTGCCCATTTAATCCTAAATTGTAGGAGGACGCTGAAAACATTAGCGCGGAGGTGGCTCCCTTTGCCTCCTGACCATGCCCTGGTTGTGGTCACAACATGTGAAACGCCTCTCTGCATGAGCTTTGGCGGCATCTGGCAGGCCGCTGTGGGGGAAGAGGATGCCAGACTAGACAGAAACCACTTTGACGGTCCCCCTCCCTCCTTAGACATTTCCCTTCTCCCAGCCCACAGCCAAACTGCTGCTGTTAACAGGAACAAGCCTCTGTTTCAATTTGAGTATTGTTTTGGTAACGTAGCTTGCATGGCAGTTGGCTCCAAATAAGACAAGAAAGAAAGTCCTGCTGGAGAATCACACCCTAAGCAGCTTCTTGGATCCAAGTGCGGGACTTAGGACTGATATAACAGGAAGCAGGATGCTAAATGAGCTCAAAGTCCCCTCTTCCTTTGCAGGTGGGTATGGAAGACCCCCTGGTCCTGAATGGGGTAACTGTGCCCCTGCAGGACCAGGTACGCAGCCCGGGAGTCATTTTGGACTCACAGCTGTCCATGGAGGCGCAGGTCAATTCTGTGACCAGGTGTCTACCAGCTGCATCTGGTACGCAGGATGAGACCCTACCTGCCTGCAGACTGTCTCACTAGAGTGCTGCATGCTCTGGTTATCTCCCGCTTGGACTACTGCAATGCACTCTACGTGGGGCTGCCTTTGAAGGTGACCTGGAAACTACATCTAATCCAGAATGCAGCAGCTAAACTGGTGACTGGGAGTGGCTGCCAAGACCACATAACACCAGTCCTATCTATCTATCTTTTTTCTGGGGTATGCATACCCCTAAACATTTTGTGAATCTACGTTTGGCCTCACTGAGGGGCAGTATTTCAATATGAGTAAGAAAATGAGAGTACCTCTAAACATTTTTTAAGGAACAAAGCACTGTGTATATGTATATGTATATGTATATGTATATGTATATGTATATGTATATACATATACATTGTTGTTGTTGTTTAGTCGTTTAGTCGTGTCCGACTCTTTGTGACCCCCTGGACCAGAGCACGCCAGGCACTCCTGTCTTCCACTGCCTCCTGCAGTTTGGTCAAACTCATGCTGGTAGCTTCGAGAACACTGTCCAACCATGTCGTCCCCTTCTCCTTGTGCCTTCAATCTTTCCCTACATCTACACACACACACACACACACACACACACACACACGAAGCAACCATCAATATTCCACAACCCCACCCCACTCAGAAACACAAAACATCTATTTAATTATATGTAACGTGTAAGTCATTTCAGTTTTTCAATGAAGGTACTGTTCCACAAACGGCGTTTGTGTCCTCGGAGGCCCATGACCGTGTTCTATCAGTGCTGTGCATGCGATAGGACCCTGCCAGGTTGAGAAGAGAGCAGAGCAGTCCGTTAGAAGAAGGTGAGAACTTAAAAGACGGCTTGCAGAACCTTGCTGCTGTTAGAGACTAGGGATGGATGCCAAAACAGCAAGCCTTTATTGTGTCTTGTCTGCGCCTTAGCAAGCGTCTCAACGCATTACTCATACAGAAACTGGCACATGTCTCTTTGGCCAGAACCTCCCATTGGTCCACTTGGCCGAGGCAGGTGGCAGGCATCCAAGTCTTACAGATAGCTCCCTTCCCTAGGCCAATAGGCCAAGCATCCCAAGCTCACAGATGCTTAGCACAGCATCAAAGGAAGCCAATTAGCTGATAACAAAGCAAGAAGGTAAACACAGACAAGCTCATTCTTGCAGTAGAGAAGAGTTAGTCCAAGGGTTACGGTAGCTTGACTACCAAAAGATTCAATTAGCAGCAATAAAATTATGCTGGAAAGTGCAAGATAAGAACCCAATGACACTATCATATCACTGAGATGTAGGCATGGAAAGAAAGGGGGAGCAGAGAAGAGGGCAAGAAGCCTTGATATTTTTTTTAATACAGTGGTACCTCGGGTCAAGTACTTAATTTGTTCTGGAGGTCCGTTCTTAACCTGAAGTTGTTCTTAACCTGAAGCACCACTTTAGCTAATGGGGCCTCCTGCTGCCGCCGCGCCGCCAGAGCACAATTTCTGTTCTCATCCTGAAGCAAAGTTCTTAACCCGAGGTAATATTTCTGGGTTAGCGGAGTTTGTAACCTGAAGCGTATGTAACCTGAAGCATATGTAACCCGAGGTACACTGTAAACAACAACAACAAGATTGCCCCTTTCTGTGGCTAATTTATAACTTGGTGTGTGTTTTTCTTTTTGTAAATCTACTGAAGAACAAAATAAAACCAGGATTAAAGGGAGCACATTAAACCACAGATCTCAGCTTACATGGAAAAAGCAGAAGGGGTGTGTGCAAAAAAGCCTACACCGTTTCGATGTCTCCTCTGATTTGAAATGTATCTGTATTCAGTCGCATTCTGAATGCTGGCGAGATCTAACTGGAACATTTTGCAGTTCAACTGGTGCATGGGTAGGCAAACTAAGGCCCCGGGGCTGGATCCGGCCCAATCGCCTTCTAAATCAGGCCCGCGGACGGGACGGGAATCAGTGTGTTTTTACATGAGTAGAATGTGTCCTTTAATTTAAAATGCATCTCTGGGTTATTTGTGGGGCCTGCCTGGTGTTTTTACAGGAGTAGAATGTGCGCCCGACTGCTGCTGCCACTGCCCAGAGCCCTTGTGATGGCCTGGGACTTGGGCTCGGACTCGGAACCAGAGGAGTCTCAGTCCGCACTGGATCCTTTGCCTCAGGCATCATCTGAACCAAGTCTGGGGCCTGATCCTGAGGAGCCCCAGTCTGCACAGGTTCCCCTGCAACAAGCACCAGCTGGGTCGAGTCAGGGGCTTGAGCCTGCCCTGGCTCCAGATGCGGGGATTACCTCGTTGCCTTCAGCTGGGCCATCACTTACAGCTGCTCCACTACCAGTTGGGTCAGGGGAGGCTGAGGCAGACCCTGGGTGTAGTAACCCACCGATATCTCCCGAGCTGCGGAGACTCAGGTCTGAGAGAAGGAGAGACCTGAGTACTCGCAGGAGGAGTACTCGCCTTTGGGCGAAACAGGGAGGTGAGTCGCCGGGGGATCAGGACTGACCGTTACCCCAACAAAGACCTCGCCCCAGGTTGCAGGAGCAACATTGCTGTATGCCAGAGATCCTGTACCTGTCCTTGCCTGGTTTTCTGCCTCGTGTCCTGCCTTGACCCTAGCGGAACCTTTGGATTCTGGACCAGTCCTGGACCGCGTTTCACAGGTTACCCCCGGGCCCAGCACAACGCTGGCCAGGGGAGGAGGATGAGGAAGGAGTGGGGGGAAAGTGGCAGTGGCAGCATCTGCAGCGGCAGGGAGGCACGCGCGGTGGATCTGGACGGGCTGCTGCTGCAGAAGGGAGCGGGCAATGGGACAGCTTCTGTGGAGAAGGACAAGGGGCAGCAGTGGGGGGGTGTCACCACCCTTCGCAGCTGTGGCGGTGCCTTAGGCCAAGCCCTCAGGCCAAGCCCAACAGAGGGACACAACCTCTCACCTGGCACCAGGGGTGTCAGCTCCACTGGCCATGCGCATGCTCCTTTCCCACCCAGGGAACCCACCGCCCACCACGGTGCAAGCTTCCCTCCCTCCAGGCCGCCCTAAATTTGGGGGCACTGGGAGGATCTTTGCACCCCGGCGCCGCATATGCTAAAGACGGCTCTGGGTAGAAATCTGCCTTCAAATGCAAAATGAATCCAATGTCCTTCCCATCCCAAAGGCTGGACCTCTCCACTGTAAACTGGGCACCACACACTGAGAAATTGGGCTTAGAATCCCCCTTGCATGCTCTTCTTTATGCCCCCCACCCTTTAAAAGAAAATTGAATACCTGGGGTTTTGGTGGTTGGTGCTGGACCCCTGGGATGTGCTCACCCCAATTCCCCCCCACCCCACTGTTTGCTTTCAGCCCATATTGTTGCCCCACTCCCAAAACCCCAAAACAGGCAACAAACCCAATCAGACCCAGCTTTTCCTTATCAGCAGGGCGCCGGTACCTCTGAATGCCATTTTGCTGAATCATAAGAGCACCTGAAGCTTTGTTATCGAGGTAAATGACTCATTGGCTCACCGCCAGGAGGGGAGGAGGAAGGGAAATACAACAAAGGACTGGCCTCGGTTAGTGCAACATCAATATGCACGATGGTACTCAAATTATTGGTGGGTGCCTTAAGGAAACCCACAAGCACTCTCTGACTCCCCATAAAAAGGTAAAGGGACCCCTGACCATTAGGTCCAGTCATGGACGACTCTGGGGTTGCAGTGCTCATCTCGCTTTATTGGCCGAGGGAGCCAGCGTACAGCTTCTGGGTCATGTGGCCAGCAGGACTAAGCCGCTTCTGGCGAACCAGAGCAGCACACGGAAACGCCATTTACCTTCCCGCCGGAGCGGTACCTTATTTATCTACTTGCACTTTGACGTGCTTTCAAACTGCTAGGTGGGCAGGAGCAGGGACCGAGCAACGGGAACTCACTCCGTCGCGGGGATTCGAGCCACCAACCTTCTGATCAGCAAGTCCTAGGCTCAGTGGTTTAACCCACAGCACCACCCGCATCCCTCTCACTCCCCATACATTTAGCCACATCATATCCCTACTCACAACCTTTGGGAAACAGGAACTGAGGGTTCCCATAGGTGAAGGGGATAAGCATGGAGCCAGAAATGTAAGAGGAGGGAGCTGAGCTCTAGGTCATGTTAGCACACTCTTGATCCTCACCCTACTGAGAGAAGAACATATCACAGACACCTGAAAAGCAGCAGGGAGCCTTCCAGATGGATGCTCATTCTGCTCCCTCCACCCGTGCAAGATTTACACAGTGTTTGCACAATGCCGTTGGCATGAAAACACCCTCCTCTATTTCCCTTCCCTCTGTTATACTGGATTTAACCCTTTCCCCCAGGGTGAACCTGATAAACAGGCCCAGCACCAGCAAGTCTGCCAGATCGAGCAGCAGTTGAGGGTCCAGGGAGAGGGGGGAATGGGAGCCCCTTCACCAGCCCCACTCATTTGTGGCGCCCTTCATCCTCCCGCTGGGTCTCTGGATGCAAGCAGAGCACTTCTACCCATCCATAGTTGAAGTATGTCTGGGGCCCCAGTGGCGGGCACAGAGCAATGCTGCCCCTAGTGGTGGCAGCAGAGGAAGCAAGTGGTGCGCACGGCTGCTGCGATCAGACGAAGTCCTGACCTGGCCAGAGGGCGCATCTGTGTGAGTCCCACTGTTGGCATCATGCCAAGCTCCCCGAGCTCCCAAAGGCTGGCGCAGGCCTTGCCAACGAGCTTACCAAAAGAACCCCACCCAGTTGCCAACGCCTCATTTGCGGTATCTGAGCAACAGGACCGCAGCACTGAGCTCCTACCTGCAGGCCCGGAACAAAGACAAATCTAGAAAACCACATAATAAGGCAACCGTGCCTCTGAGGGCAGAAAAACCCCGGGTGCAAAATAAAGAGAGCAATTTCCCAGGTGAGGACAAGAAAGCAAAGTAAGAGCTGTTTGGATTTGCTGTGGCTCAAATAGACTTTCCCAGAGGAGGCGACGAAAAACCAACCAACCCCCAAACCGTGGAAAGCACTGCGTTGCACCCAAAGATTTTCCAGTAGGCAAAGCAGGGAACAGGAGGAGAAAAGGAGGCGATGCTCTCGAGAAAGGAGGCCATGTGGAGAGGATGAGAAAGAGGAAGAAAACTGACCTTGGAGAAGCTGACTGTCAAATGGTCCCATTCTGAAAATCTGCAAGGTGCAGGTTTTACAACTGAGATGCTCAAGAAGTAGCTCAGTCGTGTAACAGAAGAGGAACTAATTAAAGTGATCTCTCTGATCCCTCTTCCTCTCTCTCTCTCTCTCTCTCTCTCTCTGCACAACCCAGAAGTAGAGAGTTTGGGACTGGCCATCACAATCCTGGGGAAATCCCAGAAAGGGGACAAAATAGGAAATCCCCTTTTATTCTGGCACCACCGGTCAAGAGCAGGAAGCATCCTTCTCCCTGCCGCACACACTAACTGTGCCACCTGTTGCACAACTCTGAAGGCAGCCCCATTTAGTTTCCTAAACTGCCTCGCTGCAAAAGAAATAAACAAACCCACAGTCCTTCCCGCAAGGAGACCTTGCAAAGCCAGAAACTTACCAGACGCTGGGAGAGCCCTCTGCTCCGCTCTTCCCCCTTGAATGTCAAGACAGCACACGAAACCTCAGCCTCAGTCCCACCCCAGGAATAAAAAGAGACCACCACATGAGACCTTCTGTTCACCGTCCATGCAACACGCAGCTCATGAGAGCAGAAGTGAAAGTAGGCAGGAGTGTGCTTTATTTTCACTTTCGGTCCTATTTTGTTGCTTGTGATCCAAATTTATCTTGCCATACTGTGTTCAGGAAGCCTGCGGTACACTCCCACATGAACTGCAACAGAATGACTAATTGCTGCATACCACCCCTACCTCCAAGTGATGTAATAATAATAATAATAATAATAATAATAATAATAAATCTTATTCTTTATGTACCACCCATCTGACTGGTTTTCCCCAGTCACTCTGGGCAGCTTCCAGCAAACTAAAACACAATAAGACATCAAACATTCAAAACTTCCGTAAACAGGGCTGCCTTCAGATGCCTTCTAAAAGTCAGAAAGTTCTTTTATCTCCTTGAAATCTGATGGGAGGGCATTCCACAGGGTGGAAGGCCCTCTGCCTGGTTCCCTGTAACCTCACTTCTCGCAGTGAGGGAACTGCCAGAAGGCCCTCGGAGCTGGACCTCAGTGTCTGGGCTGAACAATGGGGGTGGAGACACTCTTTCAGATATACAGGACTGATGCCGTTTAGAGCTTTAAAGGTCAGCACCAACACTTTGAATTGTGCTCGGAAACATCCTGGGAGCCAATGTAGGTCTTTCAGGATCGGTGTGATATTGTCCCGGTGGCCACTCTCAGCCACTAGTCTGGCTGCTGCATTCTGGATTAGTTGCAGTTTCCGAGTCAAAGGTAGAGTGCGTTGCAGTAGTCCAAGCAGGAGATAACCAGAGCATGCACCACTCTGGCGAGACAGTGCGCAGGCAGGTAGGGTCTCAGCCTGCGTACCAGATGGAGCTGGTAGACAGCCACCTTGGAAGCAGAATTAACCTGCAACTCCATGGACAGCTGTGAGTCCAAAATGACTCCAAGGTTGTGCACTTGTTCCTTTAGGGGCACAGTTACCTCATTCAGGAGCAGGAATGTCCCACACCTGCCTGCTAGGGTTCATGTTTCCATTTGGGAATGAGGCACAGCGGAGCCTGTGATGTCTTTAGGATATTTGGCTTATTTACACATCTATTTGCAACCTGAGCCTACGATGGAGGGTTTCCATAGCATTCTGAACACCGCAATACGGTTTTGTTTTTCCCAAAGCCACAGGCTTTGATTCAAAGCAGAAAGCAAACATTGCCTCTGAGTCTCTGCTCGACTCTCTCTCCAGCTTGCTGCTTCACTTCTAAGTCACATTAACCCCTCTAAAACTCCCTATTCTAAACTCTGGCTTTATTTCTCGAGGAGGGGGGCCCTACCCGTTTGCAGTCTTGCACCATGCCCCTTAGTCCTCCTTAATGGCCCATAATTTCTATGGGACCCTTTATGTAAGTGGCCTCCATGACTCTTTCTGTCGGCCCATATGGGACCAGCACGAGTGGCCGGGCCTGGTGAACTTTTAATTTCCTACCCCTACGGTTATGATTCGCGGGTTCCCACTTAATTTTATTTTGATTTTAAATGTGAATCAAATTGTATTTTAAACTAATTGTTTGATTTTGTGTTGTGTATAAATAAAAATTATTATTATTATTATTATTATTATTATTATTATTATTATTATTATTATCACCCTGCCAATCACCCTCAGGCTATCCTGGCTAGTCCAAGAATGAGAAGCTTTGATTAATTTCTAACACTACCTGGTTCTAGAGATGAGGTGGGTCTGGTATCCAGCTTCACACCCAACTCAGAACGTTATTTTTGTGGTTTGTTGCAAGTGGCACCCGCCCTGTGGAACACCCTCCCTTCAAATGTGAAGGAAATAAGCAGTTATCTTTAAAAGACATCTGAAGGCAGCCCTGTTTAGGGAAGTTTTTAATATTTAATTATGTATTGTTTTTAACACTCGATTGGGAGCCGCCCAGAGTGGCTGGCGAAACTCGGCCAGATGGGCGGGGTATAAATAAAAAATTATTATTATTATTATTATTATTATTATTATTATTATTATTATTATTATTATTGGTATTCAGAAGCATTGCTGCCTGCAACTGTGGAGCTGAAGCATAGCCATCATGACTAGTAGCCACCAATAGCACTCTCCTCCATGAATCTTATTCTCCAGGCTCTGGCCATTGAGGTCCTAATGTCCCCACTGTGGAAGGACGTGTGGGCCCAGAATTGGCCTCCACAGTCACTTACGGACTCATTGTTAAAACCGTGTTTATGGAAGACAATCTTACTCGGCTATGAGGGATCGCCAAAGAAGAAGAAGGTGGTCTAGGACATGGGTGGGCAGACTAAGGCCTGGGGGCCAGATCCGGCCCAATCGCTTTCTCAATCCAGCCTGCAGACGGTCTGGAAATCAGCGTGTTTTTACATGAGTAGAATGTGTCCTTTTATTTAAAATGCATCTCTGGGTTAATTGTGGGGCCTGCCTGGTGTTTTTACATGAGTAGAATGTGTCATTTTATTTAAAATGCATCTCTGGGTTAATTGTGGGGCCTGCCTGGTGTTTTTACATGAGTAGAATGTGTCATTTTATTTAAAATGCATCTCTGGGTTATTTGTGGGGCATAGGAATTTGTTCATTCCCCCCAATATAGTCCAGCCCCCCACAAGGTCCGAGGGACAGTGGATCAGCCCCCTGCTGAAAAAGTTTGCTGACCCCTGGTCTAGGGAGGTTCCTCTGGGAGTTATAGCTCAATTGCCTCAGGCACAACATCTTCCCATCTTCTGCAGCCAGCTCTGAGCCCTGACCCAGACGTGGTTTCATATCTGATGTCCTTGCAGCACCCAACTCTGTGCCCAGATCACTGCTGGCTAAAGGGGTCGTGCCTGCAAGGGATGGGGAAGTGAACTGATTCAGTCTGGATCCGAAAGCAAACTGCACCTAATCTTCGCTTTCTGAAACAATACAGGAACCAAAACACAGCCCAACCCCCGGCATCCGGACTTCTCCAAATGCCGGAGTGCCAAACAAGCTCAAAGGAAATGCACATGATGCTCAGGTAAAATGCATACAAAACACATCTATTTGTGAAAAGCGAGAGAAGATTGCTTTGCAAAAATGTGGGCGGTGTAGGTGAAATCTGAACACAGACTTGCGTGGATCAGGAGGGATCCGATGATGAATTTTCAAGAGAACTTTAAAAATCAGTAAATCATAACCTGGTGCGGAAATGGAGAGAACTGAATTTAGGATTTGGGAAAAGGAGAAACTGAGGGAAATTGATAGATTCACCCGCCCCTATTGCCTTCTCCATTTGCTCTCCATGTGCTAAACATTGATGTGCAACCTCAAAGTCCCTGCTCTCTCTTAGGGTCATAGAACCCCTATTATAACTCATTGCAATGCAAGACTCACAATGAAATAATGCTGGACAGATGGCCATCTGACCTTTGTTTAAAAACCTTCAATGGAGGACAGTCTACCACCTTCCTAAGGAATCCACATTCCACTGTCAAATGGCTTTTATCACCAGGAACTTCTTCCTAATGTTTTTCCCTGCAATCCCCTTTTTGTCATTTGAATCCATTGGTGCAGATATGCCAACAGTCCTACTGTTCAGGATTGGAAAGCTTTGAAGCGCATAGCCCACTATTTGAAGGGGACTTTGCACTACAGACTGAGGTTCACAAGTCAGAAGACTGGATGTCTTGAAATCTTTGCAGATGCTAGTTTTGGAAGTAACACCACGGATGGTACCAGCACTTCTGGAGTGTGCTGCATGTACAACCACTGTCTGTTTGACTGGCTGTGCAAAAAGCAGACGACAGTGAGCCTAAGTTCCTGTGAAGCAGAACTCAATGCCCTGTCATTTTCACTCATGGATTGTGAATGGTTGATGCAACTGTTTCAGGACATCAGAGTGTCTGTGAAATGTCCTATACAGGTGTATCAAGACAATAGATCCTGTTTGGCTTTGCTGAACTCAGAGAGTTGCAAGCAGAGAACCAAATACTTGCAGATTAAGTTACAATGTGCAAGAGAGTATTCAGAAAGGACTCATTCAAGTGTCCTACATGCCAGGAAATGAAATTCCTGCAGAGTCCTACCCTCTGGAGCAGCCGAAAACAAGCTTGCTCCATCATCCATGTGACAGCCTGCTAAGTATTTGGTCATTTTCCTTTACTAGACTGGGTAGCCCTTAAAATGAAAGGCTCCTTTGCCCAGAAATGCCTTTGGAATAGAGGACTGTCCATTGATAAATAAGACACATGGCCATCCCATCACTGGCAGAACTAAGAACGGATGGACGGCAGAATTTCTGCACTGAAAATGTCGACCAAGTGTATGATAAAGGAAGAAAAAGCAAACTTACTATTCATGCTTCTAGCTGATGCAGAGCCATGCTGGCTCAATTGCATGGCCGATTTTTCCACCAAGGTCAACGAAATCTTCCTTGCTAGGTCCTCTCTGTCCCTTTCGTGGAGCAACGTCTGGTAGTATTCCTTGGATATGACTCCTCCTTCCAACATGAGGTCTAAAAGCGCCTGAATCTGGGTGGAAGACGCATCACAGACGATTCCTCTGACCCCTGGCAAGATCTTCCCAAAGAGATCCATGCCGGGGACATCAACGGTGTGAAGAGGATTTGAGACAGACTCCGGATTATTGACACTTATTCTGTATGCATGTAAAAGAAAACACACAAAAAGTTGAAGTGAAAAAGAGTTGTAGCAACAGTTTCTCAGGACTCTGGCAAGTGCATTTCCTCATTTAATTGAAGTTATGAATGTGACTACCAACTAAATCTAACCACAATGTTTTGATTTAATGCTAGCGCAGCAAGAAATATCTTCAAACCATGTGTGGCACCTATGAAGAAGAATTCAGGGTCCGTCTGCTTCCCCATCCCGGTCTCACAGTGACCAAGCAGATGCTCATGAGAAGACCACAGACCATGGAGGAAAGCTGTTGCAAACAAAACTGCCAATATCTATGGTGTGCTGAGACCACATTTAGGCCACATTCAGAGTCATACTAACCCCCCAAAGAATTATGGGAGCCATAGTTTCTTAAGGATGCTGAGAGTCGTAGGGAGGCCCCCGATCCAAGCTAC